TCCAACGCACGGCCAAATAGGTACCATAACAAGCACAACAGAGCGGCATCCTGGTAGTCGGTAGCGTTCTTTGCGGTTGAGTACTGGTAGACCATGAGAGTACGGAGGTGGTCCTTAGTGCACGCTGGGGCCTTCTTGATAAACCCGCCCGAGTTGCGTTTCATGCAGTACCGGTCGAGGGTTGAGCCCATTTTCAACAGCTTGGCGGAGACGGCGGCGCTAAGTTGGTAGAGTTCAATCAGCCAGAACTTGACGTGGCGGTAGTACGACATCACTGTGTTCCGAGCGAACTGTTTCCCACCCTTGGTGTCGAGGAATGCCAAGTACGACCCAAACTTGTCAAGCACACGTTCAATGGCAACGCCAGTAGGGTCAAGAGCAAATTGTGCATGAATGTATTCCATTGTTACATTCTCTTCTGTGACAAAGCGCGTAAACGACTTGATCGCTGTAGCCTTCGCCTTGGTCGTGTTGGCAGGCACAAGATCTTGGATCCCCATGCAGAATGATATGCCAAAGTGATTGCTACCAATTGTCCGAACACAATATTATATGCAGGAAAATATGTGTTAATGCTAGCGTTTGTATTGCACATATTCATATTTTGTGATCCATTCGGACAAAATCTGTCCGAACTGGTCCGATCTTGTCCTAGCAATTATGTATACATCCATTGGCTGAAATGTTCTCGAAAAACAACATAATGCAAGTATAATTGGCTGGTAATCATGTCCCCGGGTCGGATTGGTTATAATTCCGGATACAATGCACAAGTATGTCCGCAAAGTGATCATATTCACCCATATAATTACCCCATAACGTTGTGTAACGTTTCTGTACAGTTGAAGTGTCCTTTCGTATCCGGATCCGATAAATTGGATCTTGAACCATGAGCAAGCGAGCCCAAGCGCCATCGCCCACTCCTACGTCGAATGCACCAACGCCGTCGGCATCGACGTCGTCGTTAGCGTCCAATCCGGAGGAAGCGGCCGAAAAGGAGCTCATTGAGGAGTATTTGTCACTGCATGGTATCGAGAACGCCCTCAACGTCTTCCTGAACCAAGTGGTGCGCGACCGACCGGCAGACCCGTACTTGGTGCTTGGTGGATTGCTGCAACATCGAGCGACGTCGAGCAAAGGGATTTTCGCCGTCTCGGCAAGGGAAATCTTTGATGCAAACGGACTGCCCACCCTGCTAGCGATAGTGCACACGTCGAAAGGTCGATTTGAGGGCAGCACATCCAGTCACACCGCTGCTATCTACGACACGGACGACGCAACGCGATGCCGCGGCAAAGGCGTTCGATCAAGAGACTTGACGTTGTACGTCCAGCATCTGCTCGAAGGCGTGGATCCGTGCGAGCAAACATCTTGTGACGAAAAGATCGCGTCCATGGAGGACAAGCTCGGGCGGCAAGCGTGCCTCGCGCTGTCGATCGCGATCTGTAAAGCTGGTGCGGCCCACAAAGACGTCCCGCTCTTTGAACACATTGCGTCCCTCGCGGATGTTCCCATTGAGAGTACGTACTTTGAAAAAACAAGCAGATCTCGACGTTCGTCCATGGTTTGGTAGACGCGTGCGTTCCCGTGCCCATCTTCAGCGTCGTGCAAGGCGGCGTCCACGCCTCCAACAAACTCTTCTTGCAAGAAATCACAGTCATGCCCATCGGTTGCGCTTCGTTCCAAGACGCGCTGCGATGGGGCGCGGAGCTCCACTTGGCCCTCCGCCACCTCCTGGATGCCAAGGGGGTCGGCCATGCCAACCGCGGAGCACTTGGCGGGTTCGCTCCTCTTGTTAACTCGACCGAAGAAGCGATCGTGCTTGTCAAAGACGCCATCGCCAAACTCAAGGACGCGGAGCCCGGCATCGAATTTGGCCTAGGGGTGCACGTGGCGGCCCACGCCTTTGCCACCGTCAGCGATGGCGAAGCAGTGTACAATTTGGACAAGTGGGTCGTGGGGTCCAAAGGTCTCAACAAAGCCGGGTACGACAACTCCGACATGGATGTCTAGATACGATGCGTTCTCTTGTAGGGACGAAGTCGTGGATCTTCTTCGAGAATGGTGCCGCGTGCATCAAGTCATGACGATCGTCGATCCCGTCGATATTGTCGACATCAAAGTGGCCAGCGCGTTGAACCGCAGCGAAAACGAAGTGTTGCCAGACGCTGCAACGCCACCGGGCGGAGTCGGCGGTGATCCGTCCGTCAAGGTCCAAGTGGTGGGCCACGCATTTCTCCAGCACACCAAGTTGGAAACTTTACATGAAGAGCGCGCGTGCAACACCATTCTTCTGCATGTGTCCCAGGTACGTCACAAGCACACAAATGCTCACTTGTGGGAATGCCAAGCAACGCCTAGTTGTTGTGTGTAACGATATGGTTGGCCCGTCAACGATATAAAGCTATGGAGAGTTTAACTGTAATGTTGGCCTCTAGTTCGGCACAGTCACCGCCGCCATGCAAGCTGTGGTACAAGCTCGGGTGTTGGGACTGTCGATTATTGTCGGGTGCGACGCGGGCACGCTGGACGATGTGTTTCCTGTGGATTTTGCCGTGGGAATTGGATGTGGCCAGGTCAAGATGGGCGGTCTCCTCTCGGCGGAAGGCGTCAGTCGATACAATCGGTTTGCAGGCATCGCAGCCGACGACCCGCGAGCGCCGCCGTACACTGGCGCAACGTTTCGGCGATAAAGTCGTGACAGTTAATCCGATCGACTTGTATTCGTCGATTCATAACCCCTCGATGGCCCCATCCACTGTTAATTCCATCGATTTTCCATGACTATTAACTGTAACTAAATGGCCTCTTTTGCCATGTATTTTTACTTCTTCCTATGACTATTCTATCTTGAGATTGATACGTCACGCAGGTACCGAGCTTGTTCCAAGCCAGGTGAACGTTACCATCAACCCATCGTTTACTCGTGGAGAATACAATGCCCACCAAAGCTCGCATTTGGCACCGTCGTGGTTATTCCAACGCGTACTACAGTCGTGGGAAGATAATTTGTCGTTGATGGCGCTGTATATTTTCACCCGGTAACATTTACATACTGGTCGTCAATACGCCCGATCTCGTCTGGAATTGGCCTGCGATGTTCTCGGTGGCGTGGCTAGGGGCTTTTTATCCAGAGGGGGGGCTAGCATTCGCTTGGGGGATGGGGGGACTGTGCATTTTCGAAGTGGTTTCGTGGTCGCGTTTGTGGACGTATTGCCACCACGGCTGCCATGGGACGTCAGCGACATGCGCGTGGCCATGTGATGGTCAATCAATTTCGCGTTTTCATCGGAAATCACCACGTCCTGTTGCTGTTGATCGACCTGTTACATCCATTGAATGATTCTCGTTGCCCATTTGAATATGATGGTTGGATTGTGTATGTGTGTCGTACAGGTTTCATGGGGGGTTTGAGTCGACGCGATGACGTCGGGAGTGGCAAGTGCTCTTCTACGCCGTCGCAGATATACCAAAAGTGACTCAATCGTACTAATATATATAGAGGAGTGTACCGTTATTGGACGGACTGTCCCCAAACGGCGACGAGATACATAGATTCGGAAGAAATCGCTGCCCTCCGTTGCTCGGTGCAAACAAGTTGCCCTTACCACCACTGCTCTTGTCGCCTGCATTCGAATTGTGAGCTCAGCCGTCAGTAGACGAGGACGCCTATCTGTACCATGATGATGATGTTTCTTGGGTGTGTCGGGGGTCGTCGTTGTGCTGTACCTACGAAATGCATAACGGTGTTGAGATGCGTTTTTTTCACAACAATGCAGCGTCGAGATTCCACGAGTTGGTCGATTTGGACGTACTGTTGTTGCTGTTTCGACGATTTGGCCGTGGTTGCCATCGCAATGCCGTTGTGGGGGCTGTGTTTATTCGGTGCTGGGGCGTATTCATTCGAAACTGATGATGTGGAGGTTGGAGGGGGTTTCCCGGGCGTGGGCTGGGGTTGCATCGGCGGTCGAGACAACGGCGTCGGTTTCTTTTGTCGCCTTGTGGGCTTAACCATGTTGTCCACGATATCCTTGGCGATGCATTCGCGCAGCTGTAGGTCAAACTCGTCGGCGCCATCGGCAATCAGTGGATGCTGGAGCAGCTCGGCGCACGTCCATCTGTCCAACGGCTCATCCTGCACTGTTTGTTTGAGAAAGTCGATCGCGACCTTGTCAAATTGCGGAAACCGATCTTCCAGCGTTTCCACGTCCGACACTTCGGGCAACTACACAATGTTATACAAGTACGTACATATATATATCACACACGTGCCAAAAATGATATATATATCACATCTGACAGACTGATATATAGATATGATATATATGACGCATATGAAAAAATGATATATATCACATATAGCAGACTGATACATATATATATATATCTCGTTTGTTGTTTCTAGAGGAACGATGATGCGTTTTCTAAAGTGTAACCCATACCTTGACGCCAACGTACAACGAGTTTTTCCGAAACAGCTCTTGTTGCCGCGATGTAATTCGACCCAAGCACTTGATGATGTGGTAGAGTTGATCAATGTCTGAGTCCCCTGGGAAGAGGGGCAGCCCGGTCGTGATCTCGGCAAACATGCACCCCACGGCCCAAATGTCCACTGCCTTGCCGTACGAGACGTCCCCCACGAGCAGCTCCGGGGCCCGGTACCACCTTGTGGACACGTAGTCGGTGTACTTGGCCCCCGCGGCCGCCAGTGTCCGGGCGAAACCAAAGTCGCACAGCTTTAGCACGCCATTCTTGGACACGAGGAGGTTTTCCGGCTTGATGTCTCGGTGGATGATGTTGTTTTGGTGGCAGAATTGAATCGCGCGGACGAGTTGCCACATGAGGCTGCGGATCACGGTTGGGTCGAGACCTTCGGGGTTCTTTTCGATCTCCTCGAGGATCGTCTTCTCCACGTACTCAAATACCTAGCAACCAACAAACGATGATGTGGTTCTGGTCGAAACACATCGAGTATGGCGAATGCAAAAACGTACGAGGTATAGCTTGCCCTTGCGTCGAAACACTTCGATCAAACTGACAATGTTCTCGTGCTTGAGTTGCTACAAGAGTCTCGTTAGGCACGGGGTTTTGAAATAGATACAAGCAAAGCCACGTACTTTGAGGATTCGGATTTCGCGCATCGCCGTTTTCTTGACTTGTTCGTCTTCGTCAGACTCCTTGAACTTTTTGATGGCGACGATCTGGCCAGTCTCCTTGTGTCGACACTTGAGGACCACGCCGTATGTGCTACATTCACCCCCCCTTAGCACGACATTCCCTGGCACACGAGGTCCGCCCTACCCTTCGCCGATTGTGCCCAAATTCTCATAGTTTTCCATGTCTAGGTCAACGGAAGAAGCGTAGCAATCACGCGCCGACTACACGGCATGCAGCACACCGTATATAGTTTCACGCGCCCCTTCACGTCGCTCAAAATAGATGCGAAACCGCCCCCTTACCAAATTCCAAACTCCTAGCACACCTCGCTACATCATCCGTAAAACGCTATTACTACTACTGACTACTGACTGGAAAGTTCGCGCCACTGGCGTAGTGCCTACCGAGTACACGACGGCGCTTCGAGTACATGTAATTGCAATTGTTAGGATTGATACATGCTTGGAGCTGCCACGTTGACACGCAATGGTTTGGCTACATAACTCTGCATTGACCTAATGTTCAACTGGATGCCTGCACCTACAGCATTAATACAGACAGGGAGAGAAGGTTACTTCTCCGCTGTGTATCTGGCACTCAAGCCCATGCCCCTCCCTCCACCCGCTGCAATAGTACTATTTTTGGCCCAAGTCCAAGCGACCAGCAAACACCGCACCCACCCCCTACAGGGGTTTCGGCTAATTATAGGTCCCACCAGCCAGGCGGTTCAACGAAAACCCTTTCGCCAGTCGGTCGTGCATCTGTCCTCGTCGTCAGTTCCACCGCAGAACTTACATCCATTCGTCACCAGAGACCAACGCAGTAGTATGGTTGGGGACACTGCCAAGCCGGAGACGCGCACGGTGTTCGTGAACAACGACGTCGAGAACGAGCGACTGCGGATGCAGTTCAAGTACACCAACAACTGGGTCTCCACGTCCAAGTACACCACGTACAAGTATGCCATTCCAATTCGATGTTCAACAGACTCATCCGTGGTTGCTATTAGCTTTGTGCCCAAAACCATCCTCGAGTTCTTTCGAGTGGTGGCCAACGGGTACTTCCTGTGCATTTCATTGTTGCAGGTACGACTTTGGCTTAGGAGCTCGCGGCAATTGTAATCATGGGGGGGGTAGGTGCTCACGGACTGGTCGCCGACCAACCAGTACACAACAGCAGGGCCCCTGCTGATCGTCTTGATGGTGTCCATGATCAAACAAGCACTAGAAGACAAGAAGCGCCACGACGCTGACGGCATTCAAAACTGCCGCATCTGTCACGTACTACTTTCATGAGCTTAAGCATATTTGGCTCATACGTGGTGGTGATGTAGGTGTTGACTACAGACGGAACGATCCGCGACAAACAGTGGCAAAACGTCGAAGTGGGTGACATTTTGTTCTTGAAGGACAAGGACGAGATGCCTGCGGACGTGCTGATCTTGGCCACGTCGGAAGAAGAAGGGCGGTGCTTTGTGGAGACGTGCAACTTGGACGGGGAGACCAACTTGAAGCGCCGGACAGCGTGCGAACCCATCGCGAAACGCATTGGGTTCCGAGCGCTCAACGACGTACACAATCAAGAATTCATCCCTATATTAAGTCATCATCTCTCATTGTTGTTGCTCTTATTACTGTAGCCTGTGATCGACGAAGCCAAGCACAAGCAATCGTGTGTGGCGTTTCGAGGGTCGGTCGAATACGAGCAGCCGAACAACCGGTTGTACAATTTCACGGGGGTGGTTAAAGCGGAGGCGTTGGCGGATGCCACGCCCATCGGTCCGACCAACATCATCTTGCGGGGGTGTAGCATCCGCAGCTGTTCGTACATCTTTGGCGTCGTGCTGTTTGCAGGCAGAGAGTCAAAGCTCATGCAAAACGCGCGCGCGACGCCGTCGAAGCAGAGCAACGTGTACAAAGCAGTGAATCGGTGCATCATGCTGATCTTCCTCACGCAGGTACACCATAAAAAATCCATGGGACATCACTCACGATGATGCGGTTGCCTAGTTTACACTATGCGTGATCAGCACCGTGTCGTTCAACGCGTGGGTGCACCACGCGCTCAAGCTGCACTCGTGGTACCTTCCGTTCATTCGGGTCGAAGTGAGCGCGTTCTTTACGTTTTTGATCTTGTACAATAACTTGGTACCGATTTCGCTGTACGTGTCCCTGGACATGGTTAAGGTAATAACAGCCCCATTCCCCTTTCTGAAACGTATTCGGCAGCTAACCGAGTAATGAATAGGTCGCACAAGCGAAGAACATTTCGACCGACCCAGAAATGTGCCACGAAGGTTTTTACGCGATCGCGCGCACGTCCGACTTGAACGAAGACTTGGGGCAGATCGAGTACATTTTCAGCGACAAGACTGGCACATTGACGCAAAACATCATGGAGTTCCGCAAGTGCTCCATCGGCGGCGTCATCTATGGCTACGGGTCGACGGAAATCGCCAAAGCCGTGGCGAGTTTGGCCAAACAAAACCAACCGCCCACAGAATCGACCATAGCGTCGGCGGTGGAAAACGGTCCTGGTCCGGTCGCCGACTTGAAGGACGCGCAGATCTTCCTCGACAAAACTATTCACTTTGACGACCCCCGGCTGATCGCCGAAGCCGCCACGTCATCCTCTGTTAACGGTGGCCGCATCCGCGAATTCCTCACGCTGTTGGCTGTGTGCCACACGGTGATCCCAGAGACCAACGCCACGACCGGCGTCACAACGTACCGGGCGTCGTCGCCGGACGAAGAAGCCCTGGTGAAGGCGGCACGATGCCTCGGGTACAAGCTCGTGACCCCGGCGCCGTTTGTCGAGGTGGAAGTCACCCACCAGGGGGCAGTACCAACGATCGCCGGGTACGCGATTTTGAACGTGAACGAGTTCAATTCCACAAGGAAGCGCATGAGTGTGGTTGTGTCAGCCCCCAACGGCCGCATTGTCGTGTACTGCAAGGGCGCGGACAACGTGATTCTCCCCCGATGCGCCCCCACGGCTAACGACGGCGACCTGGACGAACATTTGAAGGCGTTTGCGTCTGAGGGCCTGCGCACGCTCGTGCTGGCCAAGCGCGACATGACCAAAGCCGACTACGAAGCATGGAACAAAGTGTACCAGGCAGCGGCGACGTCGTTGACTAATCGGGCCAACCTCTTGGACGCGGCCGCGGAAGCGCTCGAAGTGAACATGGATATTGTCGGTGCCACGGCCATCGAAGACAAGTTGCAAGTGGGGGTGCCCAACACTATTCACAGCCTCGCGCAAGCAGGGATCAAGATCTGGGTGCTCACTGGAGACAAGGAAGAGACCGCCGTGAACATTGGCCACGCGTGCCGCCTCTTAAACGACGGCATGCAGCTGCTGTATGTGAACCGCGAAGACATGACAGGGCTCATGGAACAGGTACTGAGTGACGCTTGCTTGATGCCTAAACATATGCAATGGTGTATGATAAACGCTTCGCCTTACACGACTGCGTGTGTGTATGTTGTGTTGAAGTTGAGATGGCAGACGCTAGTCAAAGTTATCAAGTGAAACAAGGTCACTCATGTTCATGTTGTAGCTCGAGTATTTATACAACATGGAGTCCATCCAAAAGCACTACAAGAGCCGCACAGTGGCTGAAAACATTGGCATCGTATGTGATGGCAAGTCGCTCGTGCACTTTTTCCCGTCCAAGTCCTTGTCCGCCGACGAAAAGGTCGTGGCGAAGGAACTTCGTCGCAAACTGCTCGTTGTCGCCAGCGTGTGCAAAGCCATGGTGGCGTGTCGCGTATCGCCTGCCCAAAAAGCCGACATTGTCAATTTGGTACGACCAACGTCATCACCATGCGTTTTTAGTTTGGCCTTAACGGATTTATTCCTTGTCAGGTTCGATACAATTCCCGCAACAAGCCGATTACGTTGGCCATTGGCGACGGCGCGAACGACGTCAACATGATCCAGTCGGCACATGTGGGCATTGGCATTTGTGGCCAGGAAGGCGTGCAAGCTGTGAACGCCAGCGACTACGCCATCGCTCAATTCCGGTACGAATACGCTTGATTCTTTGATTGATCATGATGAACGATGACGATGAGTTGACGATGGCGGTAGGTTCCTTCAACGGCTGCTGTTGGTGCACGGCCGGTCCAACTACAAACGCATTGCCAAAGTCATCTTGTACTCGTTCTACAAGAACATGTCGCTCGTGATCGTGCTGTTCTTCTACAACTTTTACAACGGGCAGAGTGGCACGTCGCTATTTGAGAGCTTTGTGATGGCGGGGTGGAACTTTTTCCTGGCGCTGCCGATCATTGCGATCGGCATCTTTGACGAAGACGTGAGCCCGGAGCAAGCGATGGCATTCCCGGCTTTGTACAAGACTGGCCAGCGCAACGACGACCTGAACGTGTATCGGTTCTGCTTGTGGATTGGCAACGCCATCTTTCACGCATGCGTGAGCTTTTGGCTGCCGATTTACATCGTCGCAGGGTACCCAACCGAAGCGTTCCACTTGCAAGGCACGACCATCTACACGGGCCTGCTCATGACCATGAACTGCAAAGTGATCATGGAAACGATGTCGTGGACGATGTACAGCCACGGGTTTATTGTGTTTTCGCTCTTGCTTTTCTTCTTCTTCCTCGGTGTATACCCCCTGTTTACGTTTCTGAGCTGGGACATGGTTGGCATCACCCCCGTCCTACTTTCGTCGTACGTACAAACTCCCTTCCGACACTTTGCACTCATATCTTGATGCATATACGTCATTATATCATTCGGCATGACAATATACACTATAGGGGCATCTATTGGGCTGTGTTCTTCCTTGTGCCCGTGGCCAACTTCCTCGTCGACTTGCCGTTGAAATTGTACGACCACCCCCCCCTCTTCCAAATGGCCACGAAATAACAACGACCATTTTGCAACATGTTTGTATGTGTGCGATAGCTGGATGAAGTTTTACTGCCCCACGGACGCAGACATTTTGCGCGAGCGGTATGTGCTTAAGCGACTACGAGCCAAAGTATCGTGTGGTGTATCCGAAGCGGCCAAGACGCAAGGGATGCACGAGCCGGTCGACGACCGCAGAGGGTCTGTGGGGCGAACGCCGGACCAACTCATCGCGGACAAGAAGGCCGGGGTGCGCAACTTGACTGACGTCATGTACACCGGGTTTGCATACACGTCGGCCGAGTCCGTCGGTCGCGGCTTGGGCGCACGTGACATTGCGTCTCTGCGCGTGGATCAGTTCCAGCAGACGGGAAAGACGGATGTCATTACAGAGATGCGGCTACACAGCGCCGGCCATTTTGTGCCGCCACCGGGGGTCATAGCAGACGAGTCGGATGGGGAGTGAGCGCAAGACATTTCCACGCCGTGATATGCCTATTTATTCGAGTGACGACCCCTTAGATATGCTTCATAATAATAACTACTCCGTACTATTCATATACTCATGTTTCAACCAAGAATTTTATACTCCGGACATTAATGACTAATTTGAGCGACACACTATTTCAATTGACGGTATATAGTGTAACGATAAAATGAATTAGTGTAGTACCAATAGACCGAGCAACATGAACAACAGCCAACAGCACGATGGAGGTCGACTGAGGTTGAACCCAATGGAGTTGAAGGTATGATGGTCATGCCTTGATGTGAAAGATATCCACCTTGGATGCATCTTCACATGCCCGGAATGATAGCGTCAGCGCATGGCGAAGCGATTGAAAGGTCAAGCACAAAGCACCACTGCGACATCCGTCAATCCATCAGCGTACCAAGTCTACGCATTGTCATACTAGATCATGGACATGTGGCACTACTAGTGCTATGGCATCTGCGCTTGACTCCACGGCCGCTCCGATGTCTTCTACTCCCGTGACCATTGATGTTGACCGCTGCATGGACCAAGCAGACGCATCCTCGTCGCGAAAGAAACTGCTCGACGCCAAACTCAGCACCGTTTACGCCAGCACGCGCATGGACCGACCAATGAAGCGCCGCATCGCCGGCTTTCCAACATCCTTCGCGGTACACATCCATCTCAATCCACACCCGTCACCGTCCTTTCTAGACCCACGACAGGCTACCATTGGATTGGACGTTAAAGAGCAAATTCGTCTGTCTCACTCCCTTCCGCTTCCCACCACGATCGACGTACGTGCCCCTTGATAAACATGCTGCTTGTGGTTAATATGGTCGTTCCAGTGGCGCGGCGGCAGCTACATCCTTCCACCGCTTTGTCCAGGCCTCGCCTTCCGCCGACGCGGCAACGGCCACCTCCACCATGTCTCCGTCCGAGGAATGGCAGACTGCTCTACATCAGTTCGTTCATCCGGCCTCTCCAGGCATGCCTCAAGATGCCGCCGTGGACGACGACTGGACCGCCCACCGCTTGCGAACATGGCAAGATGCATTCCGGCATCTCTATTATACCTTTCATCACAAGTACGAGTTATTTCCACGTTCGGGTCTTCGTATTCATCGTGTGTTTGTTGGAAGCCCCCACCATGATGCGTTTTACGTGGCCACCGCGCAAAGCGTCGTGTGCTTTTACCGCGCGACCACCGCGTCAACGACCATGAGTATGCGATCCTTGTTTACCAAGTTCCTCCCACATGACGACGCCACATCCCGAGCAACGACAAGCCCTACCAAACCCACGTCCGTGCGCCAACGTACGATTCGTTTTATTTTAAATAAATCTTTATTTTTTATATATATTCTTTTACTAGGTTTAGATATTCTTATTATTTGACAAATTATTTTATTATTATTATTATATTTATAATAAATATTTATAATATTTGGATTTTTTTTACAGAAAGTATAACTTTTAATTAGATCGTTTTGCTTGCTAGACCTTGAACGATTCATCATTACATGTGTCTGAATAGACATTTCAGTCGTGATATCTCACGCCACAACGACATTGAGGCGTGATTTGATGTCGGCGGGGGTGAACTTTCATGTCCCGTTCGCCCCCCAAGATGCCGCGACGACGGGGCGGCCGTCCGCCGTCGATGCCTTGCACACGTCCATCCGGGGACTCGACGCCCTCCTCGTCGTCCACGATCCGTGCAACGTGCACGGCATATACGACTTGCTGTTGAACCAGCCTGGTTGGTATCCGTATATCAACATGTGTCCTCTGTTTTTATCTTTTGACGTGTATATATATATATATATATATATATATATATATATCGGGGCTTTTATGCATATAACTTATTCGTAGCTATTGAAATTGGATTTCTCTGCGCCTATGTTTTTTCATAAATTCAGCTTGCTATATATATATATCATATACTGCGTATATGTTTGACAAGGGAGTGTACCTCTGACATTTCTCTTCTCAATTCATACTATATATGAAATTTTCGTGCATACAGTATATATATTATATACACAATATATTTGTTGGATACGTTCGACGTGTACCTACTCCATCCATCATATATATATATATCGGGCTTTCTATTCAGAACTTATTCTCAGCTATTGAAAATTGGATTTCTCTGCACCTATCTTTTTGATGAATTCAGCCTGATATATATTTCACATACTGTCACGAATATATCATATGTATATATGATATATTTGTGCATGATGGTGAATGACGGGATGTTAGGACTCCTCGCGGCGTCGACGGACGTGCCCTTGCTCTGCGCGCGCTTTCCCTTTCAACACGCGGGCATCGTGCCTCTGCAAGTCACCCCCTGCGGCAAAATGTCGGGGCGACCCACTCCGACCTACAAGTATGTACCTATCTATATATTGAAACATTGGCGATTCTGTCCAATCTATATAATCAAATCAACGATAGGCTCGAAGTGTCGGGATGTATTTTGCCTCGTACAGTGCACGACCTTGCCAACGCCGTCAGGGCCGCCGCGGCGACGGAATCTGACGCGTCTTTTCATGTCGTGCTCGAGCCATGGGCCAGTAGCACGCGACTCAACGTGTGTGGATGGGACATGGAAGTACCCTCGTCCTCATTTCAAGACGCCGACCGCCTCGATGCCATCAAGCGCCACATGCACGACATTCGGTACCATCACACAACCGGGTATCAAGTCGGCATTGAAAAGTAGAGACCTGTACAAATTGCAACTACTTATGATTCAAGTAATCACAGGCACAAACAACTACTAGTAGGCGGATTCCTTGTCGTTTCTACTAGTACTAAAGACTGTATTCGCACTACTACTGTGAAGTTAGTAGTACTAGTAACGTTATCAATAGTATTGTAACGTTTAATCGGTACGGATTTCCAGAATCGAATCACATTTGCTAATCTACTGTAATTTTGAGTGGATTTGATTGGCTCTTACAAAAGGACTGTATATTCAACCAATCAAAACTCCAGCGTGATTCAATATTGATTAGAAGGTTTGGAAGTTTATAGCGAATTCACAATACTTGGACTATAGTATTGGCTGTGATGAGCGTCATTGCATTTCGCCTTTATAAACACGCCCTTAATGCACGACTGCTAGCTATTCATAGGCTAATCTATCTAGATCGCTTTTCTAAATATATCGCGAAACACACAATCATCCGAAATACTACCAGTATCCATGGATATACTATATATCCATGCACGACTACTTTGTATTGGGGGAATATCAACGACAATCTGTGCAAAATCTACATCAACATTCGATTCGCCTTGTTAGTCGGTTTTGGGCTTGGCCGATTGGTCCAGAAACGCCGCCTTGGCCACCGTCACGACCGCCTTGAGCCGATCCGCCATCAAAGTGCCCGTGGCCAGTGTGACAATGCACATAAACGTGATGATCGCCCAGTACAAATGCGACAACGTGACACTCACGTGCCTACACACCCTCTGTCACACACACACCCTCTGTCACATATGTGTCCACGTACTTGCAATCGTAGACGGGAATATCGTAGCCAAAGTCTTCAAAACACAACAGATCTTGCACTACGCGCACTACAAACAGGACCAACGCCACCGTCGCCGGCACCAAGTAAAACTCAATGTTCTTGTACGGGTCTCGTTCAGCATTCACTTCAACGTAGCGCGCGTGCTCGGCGACAATCTCGTCGGCCAGCTGCTGGCGCACCTTGAGGATGGCCGAGTGGCGTCTATTCCCACCACGTTTTCCACGTCAAATGTGATATATTGTCCAATCGATTCGAAACTGTCGAATGTGTTAGGACAATCGATTCACGAACCGCCAGAGCCAATCAAATCACGCCATATCGAATTTCTGCCAATCCAAACACGTTTCACCCCTCGGCATGGGGCAAAACCATATATATACTTTCTCTGTTCCAGGTTACTGCCGACATTTACTTTGACACAGACAATCGAGCCCTCACTCAATTTGGGGGTGAATGATACTTTGGGAATTGCATGAATTTTCGCAAAAGATTGGTTTATAATCAGCGCTTAAAGCAATTGTAAGCCAATGAAATGTCATAAATGTTCGATAGAAATTGAAGAATTACAGCCAATGAAATGCAAATGTCGCCAACATGCGAATTTTGAAATGTCGGCAGTAACCTGGAACAGAGAAAGTATATACTAATCTTTGTGTGTACAAGATTAAATAGCATCATCCAATAGAGTCGAAACCTATTTGGCGAAAAGACTCTCTCAAGTCTAAATTTGGGTGCACAATAAGAGATACATACCCCATTTTCGCGCCCATGTCAAAGACCGTCATGCTGCCCAAGAGGCACAGCCGGTGGTGTTCCGTCAAGTGATGCGGTTGGACGTAGCTGCATCGGGGCCCCACCTTCTTTTGCATCTCCGCCTTGTACTTGGCCAAAGCGCGGTCTTTCATGTTGGCATTGTTGGCTTCCGCCGTCGCTTCCAGCAACGTCTTGGCTTCCGGGAAGATGGTCGCTTCTTTGAACAGCGCCGCGTACGATTTGATAAACACAAGCAGTTCGCGCGACGTGACCGCGACCCCATGGATAGTCTTGGGCTCGAGCGACTCGGGCCCAAACAACGTGTTCAAGTACGACGTCAGCAGCTCCAGGAACCGCCCGTCAATCTCGTCAATGCTGCCGTCGTACTCGAGGTCCGTCACAGCGTGCCCCGGATGCGACAGCAGTACGCATCGAATCGACGCAAAGCAAGAGTGGATCTGCTCGCGCGTGTCCGCCAGGTCCTGCTGCTTGCGGGTACTCAGCACCTCCGACGCATACGCCTTCATGTCGGCATGCTTGTCGGCGAGGGTGGCCGACCGCTTAAAGTCTTGCCAGTCGCGCACGAGAAAGTCCAAGTGTTGGAACGGCCGAATCACGGGAACGTCGTCGACGTGGTTGGTATCGTCAGTGGTGTCGGCCGTTCCGTCGTCGTCTTCAACGTCGGTCGCGTCCAGCTCGCTCAAGTCTTGGAGGTGCTTGTCCGAGATCACACGGGCAAACGACTCAATGCTCCGCATCGACGCTTGCTTCATCTGCTTGTTCTCGCTTTCGTCGATCGAACCTTGCAACGCCATGCTACATAAACCAACATTTTTAAACCCCATTTGTGCTCGAAATTTAAGTCAAATTGACATCATATCGACCAAAATGACACAAAATTGACTAAAATCAACTAAAATGACATAATATTGACTAAAATGACACAAAATCAACTAAAATGACACAAAATCGACCAAAATGACACAAAATCGACTAAATTGACAAAAAATCGACTCAAATGACACAAAATCGACCAAAATGATACAAAATCGACTCAAATGACACAAAATCGACTAAAATGACATAATATCGACTAAAATGACATAATATTGTCCCAAATTGGGGCGAAGTGTATGAAGCATCAAAAGTTGAGCATGTCAACATGGGAAGACATGTACATTTGAATAGGCCTGCATATTGGTTGTGGTCATAGATAATAGGACGTACCGGCCGTATTCAGTAAACAGCGCCAAGTGCTGGAGGTTGTCTTCTTGGACGCGCTTGTCGACATTGTATATTTGATATGAGCTGAACAACGTGCTCAGTCCAAAGATGCTCGCCGTGAGCATCTGCGACGTCTCCGAGTCGAACATGCCCTGCGTGTCGATCAAGAAGACTGCAATGTCTTCGCCCGTGGCGCTCTGACGGATGAATGGGTCGCTCCACATCCAAATGCCAGTCGTGTTACGCTTCCGACCGGCGCGCCATGAGAAACCAGTCTCCCCATTCGTGGCCTCAAAGTTCGAATTGCCTTCTAGTTGCGGCCCGCAGGCGAGCGCCCACTCGCGCGAAGTCACGTCCGGCGCCGGGTGCGACGACGTGTACTTGAGGTAGCGCAAAAACAAGTCCAAGACAAACGATTTACCCGTGCGGAATGCACCCACCACGGAAATGATGGCCACTTTCATGTCCGGGTCGATCTACATACATGCAGGTTGGTGCGACGTCATGGCGACTCTATGCGTGCGTACCTTGTGGAGGATCTCATCGATGGCTGCCTCGTCCAGCTCAAACTTGGTGCCATCGTCATTGATGCGCACAATCTACCACCCCGCGTCCTTTAGACCGTGATGTTGAGCTGCACATGATGCATACCTGCTTGGCTCCCGTGATCGCAGGGGCCTCCACTGGCGGAACTGCGGTGGCGTCCGTCATTTCTGTTGTGGGGAAAATGAACGAAGACGCTTGGGGATGATGTGTGAAGACTTTACTGTACAATTTTCATGTCAAGTCCCAAGTCCTAAAGGGGAATATCAAAACAAAGAGGTTTTTCGCCTGACGATTCGAAACCTCCCACGAAGGTACGGTGGGAATAAATTTGATATTTGAGCCAATAGATTATTTGTTTAGAAGTACTACCAGCCAATCCGATCATTTAGAGCATAGTATTGGATTTGACGTTTTCCAGTTAATCTGTCCGATGAATAGTGTAACCAGCCCGCCCTGCTACCAGTATGTACTAGCACGACATGAAGTGAGCAGCGCTTCATGTCAGTCTATGCAACAGTCGTTGAAGCATGCTTCCATGGGTAGCTCAAGCCAATGTACGATGTGACAAGCATGTTCAAATGTACCAAGTACTACTCTGTTCCACACAATCGTGACACGAGTTCACGCAGCAGCATTCCGGACACCACGCATACACACACAGTCATATTATGTTAGATCGGACAACTCCTACACGCTGGAGTCGGAAAACATGACGAAACCTGCATGCGAGAGCGCAAGCCCGACCGAGGTCAAGAAAATAGCGTCGATTTGCTTCTGTGGAAGCCGTCCACGCAAGCCAATCCGGAGCAACGGGATCATGGGGCCATACAACAGAGGTGCGTACATGTGGTAGTTGATTTCTCCCCGGGGCTTGGCTTCCACTTGAGGCGGTGGGGTCCATTCTCTGCGGTCACCTCGGGCCATGATGTGCCGACGACGAGTATTGAAATGTTGTCGACGTTGTCGTAGGGGACGTTCGTTTTCTATTCTAAACCTGTTTGGAACCACTCAGATGGAGGTGTTTGATTGGTTCAAAATAATTCCATTGATGGTGTAGTTTCCGGTCTCTGATTGGATCAAATACTTGGGTGAATTTCATTGGCTACACCGATTGGCTCAAAACCGCCGCGCCGCCTTGCTTCCATCCCTGCTGGCCTTGTCGGACATGAAGGAATACTTGGTTTTCTTTGTCCATCGTCACTTGGTAGCACACTTCCTATGCGATCGTATGTTCCACCTTCGGGCACTGATATAGTCGTTTCCCATGCAGGACTTCCGGTTTCCCGAGCTCGATGCGCTGCTCACGATGCAAGGCCTCAAGCCCGAGGACTGCTACACTCGCGAGCTGAACCCTCTGAGTTCGCCGCTTGTGCATGTGAAGCTTCCTTCAGAGACCCATGCCAAGTTTCTCTCTCAACGTGGCATCCTTGTGAAAGGTGTGTACGAAGTGTGGGGCCATGGCCACACATACGCCGCGTTGGTCGAGTCTGTGGACGCGTTCGCCGAGAAGGACGCGGTCGTGTCGGACGCGTCGCTGAGCTGGAAGATCCAGGTCGACGCATTCGGTCTCAAGTTGAGCATGGAGGAGCAAACGGCCCGCCGCGAAAACTTCCGCCACGTGCTGCCGTTCGCAGGTCCCGTGGAAATGAAGAACCCAGCGTTGACGTTCCTCATCTTGGAAGACATTGGCGTGGACCAGCAGAAAACGACTCCGGATCGCATCTTCTTTCTTCGAGCGTTGGCCGGCGGAGAAAAGAACCGCGGCCGCGGCGGCGCGCGGGACCTTGTACGCCACGTTGCAGTTGTCGGGTTTTTCGCTCATATTCGAGATACGCTCCTAGGTCGACGCGCAGACCCTCAAGCGTCGCGAGTACATTGGCCCGACATCCATGGACGCGGAAATGGCGCTGATCATGTGCAACATGGCGCTGGTGCAGCCAGGCAGTCTTGTGATCGATCCATTTGTCGGCACGGGCAGCGTGTTGGTGCCGTGCACAACGTTTGGCGGGATTTGCTTTGGCACGGACATCGACTCGCGTGTCTTGCATGGCAAAGCCGGCAAAACGATCAAGTCCAACTTTGACCAGTACAAGCTGCGGGTGCCAGATCTCATCCGCGCCGACAACTCGCGGTCGCCGCTGCGGTGTCCGCACTACTTTGACGCGGTCGTATGCGACCCTCCCTATGGCATCCGTGCCGGCGCCCGCAAGAGTGGCCGGTACGTTGTCGGTCGACTACATCTCTCTCCTCTTTCATTCGTTTTCAGTTTTTTGTGCCTATTCAAAAGTTCCTACATTGAAAAATCGCCAAATCTATCGATCGATCCTTGTATTTAAAACAATGTCCTGTGGCGATGGCGATTTGTATATCACACTAATTTCAGGCACACACTAATTCGATGTTGGTGATGGTTTCCTGCAGTCTGATTGGCTAAAATCCTGCCAGTTCTTGTGTACATTTATTTGGTGTGTCGATTCATTCTCCATGTCGCTGCAGTGTAGAATAAACACACAACAATATTGTCCTTTTACCCAAAATGTGAACGTTGGTGTGCTGATTCGCCAAATATATTGATCGATTCTATGAACTGAATTTTGTAAAAGTGTTGTCCTGATTGGAATCACACGAATTCAAGTCATACACTAATTAAATGTTGTTGGTGATGGTTTCCGGCAATCTGATTGGTTCGATTCTTCTGTACATTTGGTTGTGTCAATCGATTCATTCATTCTCCATGTATGTCGCTCCAGTTTAGAATATAAACACAACAACACTAGACGAGACTGTGCGCCGGCCAACTCGACCGCGCCGCCACCGCCGCCGGCGTCTGTTTCCTCCGACCAGAAACCAATTAAACCCAAGTATGGACCGCGCCCCATCCCCGACGAATGGCTCGAGAACCACATCCCAGCCACGCAACCGTATGCGGCCGAAGACGTGATGCGCGACCTGCTCGTGTTTGCCGCCAAGAACTTGCGCGTGGGCGGCCGCGTCGTGTACTTGCTGCCCACAACGTACGACTACACGGACGCTGACCTGCCGACCCATCCGCAGCTGCGCGTGGTCGGGAACTCGGAGGAGCGCCTCACGAGCAAGTACGCGCGGCGCCTCATCACGATGGTCAAGACAGTTGAGGCCAGTGACATTCCCAGCAACCTCGACGACGGGTTCAAGTCGGACTTTAGTTTTGCCAAGTTGCGGGAGAAAATCGTCGCGTCGAATAAAAAACCGAAAACGGCGTCCAATTAATATCATACGTTGATGTTTAAGACGAGGTTTGTCATAACGTTATACTGTGAATTTTGCAATAAAATTCCAAAAAGTTCGCATGGTTTTCTAATCAATATTATTTCACGCTGGATTTCTGATTGGTTGAATATACTTGTCCTCCTTTCTGTAAGAGCCAATCAAAACCACTCAAAATTACATTAGCGATTCGATTCGGCGGCGGGATTCGATTCGACAGGGTCTGGAAATCTGTACCGAATCCACTATATATATATATATATATGGTGGATTCATGTTTTTTCAGTATTAATATATTATTATGTCGCAAAGCAAAGTATAATAGTACTGTAACGAGGCCTGGACTCGATCATAGCGATGCACGAGGGAGGGTCATGTGGTCACTGGATGAAGAAGTAGGGTCTGCCAAGTGCACAACAAGTTTGCCAATGTTCTTGCGCGCGTAGAGGTACTCGATGGCATCCGCGACACCTTCAAGGCCTCGGAATGTGGCCGTGTCCACGCCGGGATTCAACAGACGCTTGTGCACCAGAATCGTGAGCTTCCGGGCGTGCGCGGCCCCATGCGACTTGGCGAAGTGGTTGAGGAAGAAGCCTCGCACGGATGCCGACTTGCTCAAGAGGGTGGCGGAAAACGGGGGGGTGGCGCCGGCAGCAGCAGACCACGACGACGAGTCCGAGTAGCCAGAGATGGACCCGATCACAATCAGCCGCCCGTGCTTGGCCAAGTGGTTCACGCATATCTGAAAGGGGGTGAGAGCTTTGAGGACACAATATTGGAGAGCTAGGAAGACCAACCTCGAGCAAGGACCCCCCGACCGACTCGAACACAAGGTCCACGCCGCGAGGGAATTCCTTGAACAAGACAGCGCCAACGTCTTCCTTGGTGTAGTCGATGGCGCGATCGCATCCAATGGACTGCAAATACGCTTGCTTCTCGGGCGAGCTGCACGTGCCGACGACAGTGTTGCCCGCCAATTTGGCCAACTGCACCGCGAATTGACCCGTGGCACCGGCGGCCGCCGTCACCAACACAGTTTCCCCCGATTTCATCTATACCACACAGGTTTGTTAGAGCAAGTCGAGTTTCATGGTACAGTACCTCGCCCACTACGTCCAACGCAATGGATGCCGTGAGACCGCACACGTTCAAGGGAAGGATCGCGGTCGTGGCAAATGGCACCTTGCTCACAAATTTGATCGGCACGACAATGTACTCGGCAAATGCGCCGTATACTGTTGAATGTCAGAAGAGGAATCGACAAGGATGACGTCGTACGTACGAGTATACACGACCGCGTCGCCCTTCCTCAAGTGTTTCACCCCGGCCCCAACTTCCTCAACATGTCCAACTACATGACATAAGAAAGTGGTGACACAGACACAATCAGTGTCCGTCGTCGGGGACACACACACATACCGCCTTCAAAGCCGCAGTCGAATGGCGGTTGGACCCCAGGGTTGTACTTTCCGTTCGTGTAGTTGATGTCAGATGCATTGATACCCACGACGACGTTCTTGATTAGGACTGTGCCCGGGGCTACCGTCAAGGACGACCTCGGGATGGTCACTATCTCTGTCGCTGCCCGGAAGTCTGTCGAGAGCTTGGTGCACACAATCTTACGAAACATGTTGGATCTGCTGTGTCCTTGAGGTTGCAAATTGAAAATTGGATGCTGATCAGACCGACGGGAGGGTCGGAACGATTGCTGATTCGTCGACACATTTAAAAACCCGCGGGACGAAATCGTGAGATGTCATATTCAAATATCTATTGTAGGTGAGGGAACGTGCTTGCTAGTGCTACGGCGGGGACGACACGCTGGGGGTCTTCGCTGCTACGCCGCCAGCGCCTTCCATTAGCTCCGCCAGAGGAAGACTGCCGAGGATCGAGTTCACTCCTGCATGGCTGCTCACTCGTTTTTCGCCGTGAAACGAACCAAGACCGTGGCGACGCTCGGCTTCTGCGTCCGTTTCGCCCGTGAAGTTGAAGTGGTCCACGCGCATGGTGGCAATTTCGCGCACGGCTTCCTTGGAGTCGACGTCACTCACGACTTTGTCTTCGGGGGCCGAAAATGCAAATCCAGTGTATCCTGTCATGTCCAAGTTCTTCACGCCAGCCTTTTCATCCTGTCGTTGTTCCTCCATAGACCGCGGGTGCGAGTAAGTGACCGCGCCATTGGTTGTCATGTCGACAATCTTGAGCTGGTTCTTTTGTAGCAACCCACGCTCACGCAGAATATCGGCCTCCGTGGGTCGATAGTTTTTCACCCAACTACGTATTCACGTCAGAGGGAAAACGAAAACGCAAGGGTACTACGTACTATTTAATGCTGATGTCGATCAACATGCAGGCCGCGGGAATCAAGAAGAAGACGAGCCAATACAGCGCCCTAGTCAGTCAACGCCATGTCAACACAGGGACGCCAAGGAGACGACGACTGAACGTACGTCGACAGCATGGACGTAGGGACGCCAATCATGTCGTTGCCAAGCCCTGGCACGACAGGATACACAGCCAAGAAGAAGAAGAAGAGCAGGAACGAAAACACGACGAACGCGTAGCTAAACATCGTCCACGACAGCGTTTCAAAGATCACTTTGAGGTTCATGGTCATGAGCAGTCCCGAGTAAATGGTCGTCCCTTGCACGTGAAACGCTTCCGTGGTAAACCCCCGGACAATGTACACGGGCAAGAAGAAGCTGATAAACGCATGGTAGAACGCGTTGAAGATCCACCACGAAAAGTACTTGATGTTCAAGTCTTCGTTGCGCTGACCAGACAAATACAGCGGAGGGAACGCCATCGCTTGCTCCGGGCTCACGTCTTCGTCAAAGATGCCGATCGCAATGATCGGCAGCGCCAGGAAAAAGTTCCACCCCGCCATCACAAAGCTCTCAAACAGCGACGTGCCGCTCTGCCCGTTGTAAAAGTTGTACAGGAACAGCACGATCACGAGCGACATGTTCTTGTAGAACGAATACAAGATGACTTTGGCAATGCGTTTGTAGTTGGATCGGCCGTGCACCAACAGCAGCCGTTGAAGGAACCTACCGCCATCGTCAACTCATCGTCATCGTTCATCATGATCAATCAAAGAATCAAGCGTATTCGTACCGGAATTGAGCGATGGCGTAGTCGCTGGCGTTCACAGCTTGCACGCCTTCCTGGCCACAAATGCCAATGCCCACATGTGCCGACTGGATCATGTTGACGTCGTTCGCGCCGTCGCCGATGGCCAACGTAATCGGTTTGTTGTGGGAATGGTATCGAACCTATTCAGCATGAGTTGTTTTTCCCAGAATCCATGTCCAATAGCGATTATAATTACCATGTTGACAATATCTGCTTTTTGGGCGGGGGACACGCGACAGGCAATGAGCGCTTTGCACACGCTGGCGACGACGAGCAGTTTCCGACGAAGTTCCTTCGCCACGACCTTTTCGTCGACGGTCAACGCTTTGGACGGAAAAAAGTGCACCAACGCTTTGCCATCGCAAACGATGGCAATGTTGTCGGCAATGGTCTTATCCTTGTAATGCGATTGAATGCTGTCCATGTTGTACAAGTACTCGAGCTACCCAAGTTGTGAGACCAAGACAAAAAGCACCTAGACAACCTGCTCGGTCAATTCCGCGAGGCTTTCGCGGTTGATAAACAGCAGCTGCATGCCGTCGTTTAAGAGGCGGCACGCGTGGCCAATGTTCACGGCGGTCTCTTCCTTGTCCCCAGTGAGCACCCAGATCTTGATCCCTGCTTGCGCGAGGCTGTGAATAGTGTTGGGCACCCCCACTTGCAACTTGTCTTCGATGGCCGTGGCGCCGACAATGTCCATGTTCACTTCGAGCCCTTCCGCGGCCGCGTCCAACAGGTTGTCCCGATCGGTCAACGACGTCGCCGCCGCCTGGTACACTTTGTTCCATGCTTCGTAATCGGCTTCACTGAGCTCCCGCTTGGCCAGCACAAGCGTGCGCAGTCCTTCGGACGCGAACGCTTTGAGGTGTTCGTCCAGCTGCGCCGACGAGCTGTCGAGTTTGCACCGTGGTATGATGACATTGTCTGCGCCCTTGCAGTACACGACGATGCGGCCGTCCGCGAATTGCACCACCGTGGACATGCGTTTGCGCGTCGAGTTGAATTCGTTCACGTTGAGGATCGTAAACGTTTGCATCGTGGACGGCTTGGCCTTGAGCGATACTTCCACTTGCACCAACGGCGCGGGGGCCACCAGTTTGTACCTGACAGTGTCACATCTCAGTTGTTCCAAAACGACAACCACGTGTTCATATGTGGGGGGTGTACCCGAGGCATCGTGCCGCCTTCACCAGGGCTTCTTCGTCCGGCGACGACGCCCTGTACGTTGTGACGCCGGTCGTGCCGTTGGTCTCTGGGATCACCGTATGGCACACGGCCAAGAGCGTCAGGAATTCGTCGATGCGCGCGGCGTTGGGCCCGCCGGTGGAAATCTCACTGATGAGGCGGGGGTCGTCAAAGTGAATGGTTTTGTCGAGGAAAATCTGCGCGTCGTTCAAGTCGGCGGCTGGACCAGGACCGTATTCCACCGCCGACGCTATGGTCGATTCTGTGGGCGGTTGGTTTTGTTTGGCCAAACTCGCCACGGCTTTGGCGATTTCCGTCGACCCGTAGCCATAGATGACGCCGCCGATGGAGCACTTGCGGAACTCCATGATGTTTTGCGTCAATGTGCCAGTCTTGTCGCTGAAAATGTACTCGATCTGCCCCAAGTCTTCGTTCAAGTCGGACGTGCGCGCGATCGCGTAAAAACCTTCGTGGCACATTTCTGGGTCGGTCGAAATGTTCTTCGCTTGTGCGACCTATTCATTACTCGGTTAGCTGCCGAATACGTTTCAGAAAGGGGAATGGGGCTGTTATTACCTTGACCATGTCCAGGGACACGTACAGCGAAATCGGTACCAAGTTGTTGTACAGAATCAAAAACGTAAAGAACGCCGTCGAGTCGGTTTTGATGAACGGAATGTACCAGTCGCGGAGCTCCAAGTTGCGCTTCACCCACGCGTTGAACGACAAGGCGCTGATCACACATAACACGGCCTAGTTATACGTTATGTACACTTTGCCTTTAACATCAACAAAGACAAAGAATGATTGTACCTGGGTGAGGAAGATCAAAATGATGCACCGATTGACTTTCTTGTACACGTTGCTCTGCTTGGACGGCGTCGCGCGCGCGTTTTGCATGAGCTTCGACTCTCTCCCTGCAAACAGCACGACCCCAAAGATGTACGAACAGCTGCGGATGCTACACCCCCGCAAGATGATGTTGGTCGGACCGATGGGCGCGGCATCCGCCAACGCCTCCGCTTTAACCACCCCCGTGAAATTGTACAAGCGGTTGTTCGGCTGCTCGTATTCGACCGACCCACGAAAAGCCACACACGATTGCTTGTGCTTTGCTTCGTCGATCACAGGCTACATTAAGAAGAGCAAACAACAATGAGAGGTGATGACTTCATATAGGGATGAATTCTTGATTGTGTACGTCGTTGAGCGCTCGGAACCCAATGAGTTTCGCGATGGGTTCGCACGCTGTCCGGCGCTTCAAGTTGGTCTCCCCGTCCAAGTTGCACGTCTCCACAAAGCACCGCCCTTCTTCTTCCGACGTGGCCAAGATCAGCACGTCCGCGGGCATCTCGTCCTTGTCCTTCAAGAACAAAATGTCACCCACTTCGACATGTTGCCATGGCTTGTCTTGGATCGACCCGTCGGACCCCAGCACCTACAGCACGACCACGTATGAGCCAAATCTGCTTACAGTATGAAAGTAGTACGTGGCAGATGCGGCAGTTTTGAATGCCGTCGGCGTCATGGCGCTTCTTGTCTTCAATTGCTTGCTTGATCATGGACACGATCAGCACAATCAATAACGGTCCCGCCGTCGTATACTTGTTCGTGGGCGACCAGTCCGACGCCAACTATCCACATGCGCTTGATGAATTCGACCAACCATTCGGTACGGTTCGTGGGGTTACCTGGATGATCGAAATGAACAAAAAGTACATGTTGGCAATCACCCGAAAGAACTCGAACAGCGTCTTGGGCACAAAGCTACAATACATGAATGAGCCCATCAATTCCCCCACTCGAGTTTGCACTTGTCTACTAGAACGGACCTCACAATCGTATACTTGGACGTGGACACCCAATTGTTGGTGTACTTAAACTTGGCTCGCAGCTCTCGGTTCTTGACGTCGTCGTTCACAAACGTACAGCGGACGGCATCTTCTTCCGCCGCCTTGCCCGTCTTGTCCTTTCGCGGATACACCGACGACATGCTCATGCAACGACTCCACAACCAAGGGTTTTGAGCTGTGCGTTGGTGTTTCACCGCTCGCGACGCCTAATTATATCCCTTGCTGACAAAACCATGAAACGATCTGAAACCAACGTAACCATTCGTATTTCCCCTCCCTAGCATTGGAGGAGGACGTATGCAACTCTTTGGGACCGAATTACTTTGCCAGGAAAACGGTCAACAATCGGGTGATAGTACTATACGCTCCATGATGTGATTATGACGTTTCCTCATCGGATGCTACAGACTCTTCAAACTCAAACGAGTCGGAGTACGCGCCGTCGTCGTCGTCGTCTGTGGTGCCGTGTCGGCGCGAAGGAGACCGCGGTGGTGAGGATGGGGCTGCGGTGGTCGCCGTTGAAATCCTGTCAGATGTGACGTACGCATTGGTTTGTGGGATTGGGGAGGTGGGGGGTGAGCTTGGGGTCGTTCTGTGTAGTTCCAACTGGGGCGAAACTGTTCCTTCAAGGATTTGCACATCATGACCAGATGGTGTGGTGGTGATTGCATGTGGTGACAGCGGTGGCGACAGGTTGTCGGCAGCTTCCATGGACTGGTTGGCAACAACTATTGAGTGGTCGCTTGCACTCGCACCAAACTCGTCCTCATCGTCGTCAAAGTTGCTGTGAATGATGACTTTGGGTCCGAGTGGTTGTTCGTCGTTATCCAACGACTCGTCGTCGGCGAAGTTCCGCCGCCCGAGAGATGACACTACACTCGGAAGAGGCAATTTGGACAGGGGTTGCAATGGTGACAGTTTTGATTGCGGCAGGGATCGTAGTGCAGACAAGGGCCGTTTTCCAGTGGGCATGGCGACATTGCCGTTTGGTAGCTTTTTCAACGGACTTGGACCACTGTCATCACTCGCATGGTCCGAAGCCACGTCATCTTGTGACTCGTCTAGGTCTACCCCTTCGTCCGCGTTTCTATACGGAGTATTCTGTCGACTCGCGGGGAGTGTCAAGGCATCCCGAGTAAGCGACTGAGCAGCTTCTAGTCTCCCCATCGTTCGTTGCGCTTTGGCGGCTGGGGTCGGGATGTGACCACGCATGAGTGCCTCCACCTCGTCCTCGTCATCGCTTGTGTGGCTTGTGGTCGATGGAGTTGTTGTGCGAACATGGCCAGTTGGGACATTTCCGTCGTGTGATAAGTCGTGTGAGAGGGTTTTGTCGTTGTTCTTTACTCCATCCTGAGAAATGGATGAAGCAGGACCCAGCGATATCGATGGGGACGCCGCCCCTTGAGTTCCATGGGCTTTGAACGCAATGGTCGACAAATTCTCATGCATGAGAGCCTCCATATCGTCACTTTCGTTGTTTACATGGGATGTGGCCAAGTCAGACGATACAATTTTATTGCCGCTTGTTGCTTGTGTGACGTAGCTTTCGTAGTCGTCGTTCGAATCCTCCAGATCATCTCGACCATTCACGGCGCTGTACGGGTCTCTCTGGGATTGCGTAGAGAGGGTAGATGCGTTTTGCATCCAGGGTGATGATGTCATTCCACTTGATACCACAGGGGTCATCCCAGTCACACCATAGGCTTGTTTGACGGTTGAACCCGAAATATGGCCGCGCATGAGTTCCTCAACTTCAGCGTCGTCGTCATCGTGTGCATGCCTTGTGGGGATCGTCGAGGGAATGTCAGTCGGTACGAGTGTTTGGTCCCGAAGATTTGAATCGACTGATGTCCGTGGTGTTTGAGTCACCACATCGTTTTCGCTCTCGTCATCTCTGTCCTCGTTTTCGTCATCACTCGTTGCGTCTACAGGCTCGAGCTCGTGGCTTAATTCCATGGAACCTTCCACCGAGCACGACGGACTGTCGTGCTCGGTGTATTCTATTCGTTGGGTCAAATCTGGTTTTGGTTCCAACGTGCGCAGTTTGGCTTGAATGAGGCGCTGACTCAAGGATATTGACATTGGTTTTGATGGGCTCGTGTCGTCGGCACTACTATCGTCACGGCTACGTTCCATAGCATCGCCATCCGAGGACACATCCAACGCCGCGTCGTAACGTCGTGATGGGAGGTCTACTTGAGCTGCTCCGTGGTGAATCTCGTCCCCATCGGACACGTTGTCCATCGAGTGCTGGGTGACGTCGTCCATGTCGTCGTCGCTGGCGTCGAAACTATGTTCCAAATCCAGCGAATTCTCCAATCCATCGTTGTCGTGCGGAAGAAGCATGTCACTCGTGGCTACGTACTGTAGCCCTGCCGTGGACAATGTGACGACCGAAGGGTGCGGTGGCACAGCATCACCAAATGAAGGCAATGCATCATCGTCGTTGCCATCCTCGTTGACATCGTTTTGGTTGCGTTCCTCATGGTCGTTTTCGTGACTGTTATCGTCAACGGATCCTTCGACGCTGTCATCTGGACCACTCACTTCGTCAAAATCATCATCATCACGGCCGGGAACTGACGCCAGAGGCGGCGATCCATTCAATGTTAAGTGCTCCAAGTGAGCCAAGTCGGACGCGATACGGGGCAGGCCACGCCACGACATTTTGTCGAGTGGAGCCAACTTTGGCGACAACCGAGGCGGCGATTTGCCTGGCGACAGCTCCTTCGACGGTTCCACGGTGACAGACGGAAGGTTGTCTCTTTGTATTTCATCGGTCTCAGGACGACGGACGTCCGACGCCGTGATTGCTCGGTCTTCGACCCTTTCACCCACACCCGCCTGCGTTGGATCCCGACCGTCGGGAGAACTATCCACGATGTCGTCGTCGTCTGATAAAGCGTCCAAATCATCTTGATCATTGAGCGAAAGGCCAAATTGGTGGGCTCGTGAAGCAGTGACTCCGTGTCCAGTATTATCGGATGTATTATCCAACATCACATGATGTTCATCTTCGTCGTCATTGTCGTCGTCGTCGCTGTGATCATCAAGGCCAAGTGATTCCATTGCGTTGGCAGACGAACGAGGATCGACTGGACCACTTTGAGTGGAATTGTGTGATAATACGCGAGCATGATCACCAGCTTTTTGTGTGACAAGCGCTTTACCACCATGAACATCGTATGTACCAACGGTATCGGGTGACTCGCCATCGTCGTCAGGGTCCGATAACTCTTCGTCCGCGGATGCTACGTCGTCGTCCGGCGCACTGCCTTTCAACTCGCTTGCATCGCCGAATGCTCGTGCCGAGTATTGGGTTTTGTCCATCATCCGTCGCTCCACTTCGTCCGTGTCAACGTCTCTGGAAGACAAGCCGGTTTGAAAACTGAACGTCTGGGAACGCAATGAATCCAATGGAGCCTCTCCATGAAGCGACGTTGGAGTCTTGCCTCCTTGGTTCAGGTCTGCAGCTGCTAGGGGACTGGACGTGTGGAGACTGCTATCGTTTTTTCCAGACAATATACCGTCCTCGCCCCTCGATAAGTCGACAGATTCGTCCTGATCGCTAAAGCTGTCTTGTAAGATATCGCCATCTTTGTCGTCCACGGGGCTTGGTACATGAATCGACAGTGCGTCGCCGGATAATGTGATATTTGGTTTGGTGTGCTGACCTGGTTGGTTGAATCCGAACGAGGGAATACTCTGTGCAGAAAGGCGTACTTCTCGACATGACAAGATGCTCTGAGTAGAGCTGCCCAGCTCGTCGCTGTCGCCACTCAGCGGGGAATGGTCGGACGTGGTCACGTGGTTGCTGTGAAATGTGTCGACAACAGCAGAGGACAACGAGTGGATGCTGTGATCATTCCGGGTGGCTATTGCTGCCGAGTCCGCACGTCCAACGGCAGATGGATCCACCGGATGGGATGCAAACTCTTCGCCTCGTTCAGACGCATCGGTTGTCACAGATCCATCGTCCTCGTCAGGACCAGATAATTCTCCGTCGTCCAGAGGACCCAACGACGCCCCTCGCGTTTTGGATTGTCTGGCGGTTCCAAGTTGACCTTGTTCGACCATCAGTCGTGCGACGTCGTCCAAATCAACGTCGTCCGCATGGAGTCGACTTGGCTTGCCATTGATTGCCGTTGTCGAATGCAATTCAACTGATCCTTGGACAAATCTCCCTGCTTCGTGAAGGGCAACGGGATGTGAATCACTGCTTGATGTAAGTCGTGGGGGCGACTCCAAGTCGCGACTGCGTGACTCTTCGCCTGACTGCTCCATGTCCTCGTCACATTCGCCGACATCTGAGTCGACTTCTTCCCCGCTATCGTGGTGGTGTACACTACCACCCAATGGAGCGTTTGGTTCGAGTAAAGTCGTCGCCGCGATCTGAAGTTCCACCGCTACGTGACCTGAATCGCCAAGGAGGGACTTCAATGGGCCACCCTGACCGCCGACATGTGTTGCCTTGGTGTCGATCTCATATACTTCGCCCCCAACATGATCGCCATCTTCGAAATCGGATAAATCTTCGTCCTCGGACTGGTGGGTTTCGTCGTCATGTCCAGCATCGTCGTCAAACGATGCATCAAACGAGTTGTCAAAGCCCGTGTCATCCTTCGAGGTGGCAGTTGCAGTTTGAGATTGCTCTGTCAGAAGTCGTTCCACATCCTCCAAGTCCGTGGCGTCAGCCTTCAGCTTTGATACGACAGCCGCTTTCGCCTTGGCTTCATCCGTGCCGGTGAAGAATTCTCCGTGTCCAAGCTCTGGACCAGTTCCTTCAACGGCATGGATTGGGGGGACGATTGGTTGAATCGACATGCTTTGGGACACGTCCAGGTCCTGGTTCACATCTCCCGATATGTCTTTGTCATCAGATGTCAGGTAGTCTCCTTCGTCACCATGTACAGTTTGCACTTTGGACACTATCGCACGGTCGTCCTTTGAATCGTCGAACGAGACTTCATGGGAATCCAGGAACTCCTTTGCATCGGACGGATACCGACTTTGCACTTTAACATCCACGCCAGCTACGTCCGTATCGTTGGTTTGACTCGGCAATGCCGGACGCTCTTGAGCGGAAGAAGTTGGCGCTGTTGCCGTGCCCGATATTGGCAATAACTGCGAGGTTGTTGCCAAGGGTGTTCCGATGTTGTTGTCGCTGCTTTCGATTGGAGACACTTGAAAAGTTATTGCAGCCCCAGGTGTGTCATTGTGCACTTTTGTCATGGCCCCCACTCGCCTCGGTGACACTTCGTCGATAGATGCATCCATCGACGCTTCAGATTCGCCGTCAGACAAGAGGACTTCTCCACTGTTGTCCTCGCTGTCGTTTTGTCCACGCATCGCATCAGTGTCGTTCGCTGCCCTTGGCTTGTCCTGGACCAACTGGTCAACACTACCATCCTTCGAACCGGTTGAAGGATGTAATTTGTGTATCGCTTGGTCATTTGACTCTGTCCTTTCTTGGGAATCATGGCGTCCAAGATGTGGTGGGTGCTGGGGCGAAACCTCGTGGCCAAGTCGTGGCTTCAAGGTTTCGGTTGATTGATCAAGAGACGATTCATTCAAGGACTCGTCCATCTCATCGACGTATGATCCATCGTCCTGCTCGTCCGCGGAAAGTTGAACTTGGTCCACAACCTCGTAATGAGAAACGATGATATTTTCACGCGGGAGTCGGCTCATCTCGACACTTTCGGTGGTGTCATCTGGGGCCCCGCGCCCATGGAATGGCTCAGGCGGTACAGCAACTTTGTCTCGGCCAAAGGCTTCAGACAACGCTTCTTCACCATCTGAGTTTTGTTCGACACTACTGTCGTCATGACGGGAGCTCGAACCATGTACTGGCGACGCAGGTGCATCAAAACTGTCGTCGAAAGAATCGTCGTGTCCAAAATGTTGGTCGGCAGAATGTTGCTGCATTTTCTCCAGCATCAATCCTTGGACAATGTCCAAATCTACATCATCGTCGAAGTTGTGTCGGAGGGCTAACGGGGACAATGCTGGCGCTGGAGCTGAGCTAGCACTCGACAGCGACGATGAGGTCGCATCTTTTTCGAAGAGACTTGAAGAAGCACTCTGGTTTAGAACGGGAACGGTGTCGACTTTTCTGTTGGTCGATTCGAAATCGTCTTCTACTTGATCAACACCGTGTATACTTGGTGGGGTCGATGAGGCTGGCCACGATGTGTCCATTCGATGTGAACTCGGCCGTTCACTTTCAACCCATCCTGCGACTGAATCATCTCCAACTTGGTCGTCGTCTGGGTTGGACTCGATATCGCCACCACTGTTGTGTGGACTTGCTGCTCGCGCACTCATAGGGCTGTCCCCTGGTGCCGTTTCTTCAGTCGCATGCAATGTCGTCGCTCCGTGTATTGCTTGGAGTTCCTTCTCGACTCCTGTCGGAGGGCGGTTCTGTCCACCTTTCACTTGTAGTGCTTCGACTGAATTCCCCATGTTGCCCTCATAAGAACCAAGCACATGTGCGCCTTCGTCTTCCACACGTTCTGCACGTCTTTCATTCGACGACTCGAGGATGGTACTTGATGCAATCATGTCGTCCATCGATACATCCATGGACGCACGCGACTGTTGTCCTTCGTCACCGTCATCATGTGCACTGGACCCAACCTCATCCTCATTGCCGTCATCGTCACCGTTATCGTGTTGTTTGGATGTCGCCACATCTTCGGCGTTCGGCTGCGACTCTGAAATAGCCTGCTTTACAGCGATGGATTCTGTCTGCAAGTTCCCTGCGTTGGGTACTTTTGCATGGGAGTCGTCTTCATGGTGTTGTGCAAGGACCCTCTGGTCAAGTTGCAAGTACGCAGATGTATCCATGAGGGTCATTGGTGCCAAATCGCTGCGAATGTCGACAGACTCGTGCCCGTCCTTGGAGGAGGTGCGAGGGCTGCGCCGTCCGTCACCGCTGCTTTGAATGCCCAGCCGATCGTTGTCGACTGATGCTTCCATGGAAGACACTGACTCGTCATAATCGTCGTCAAAGTTGTCTGGATTGGAGGGAACTTCTTCGTCACCGTCATATTGACGCAAGGCTGATGTGACGACCTCATTAACAACCGCTGTGCGACCATACAAACCATGCAAGGCATGTGAAGCCAACTGGTTTGCAGACTCGGAATTGATATTTGACGCCAATGCCGTCGCTTCGCTCTTCGTTGTTTCATTTGCATGCGATGCCTCGATCCGTCCGAGTAGTGAATCATTCCCCCTGGAAGGGGCCGACAGGTCAGCCGCAGTTTGTATATTGTTCCCCCGCCATTCGCATCGTCGTACCACCGTCGTGTTGTTTATCGTGACAGACAGCTGGGCCAACCGTTCAGCCAATTGTGGCAATCGCTGGATGGAATTGACCACGTAGGAAATGTCTAGGCCCTTCAATGTCAATTGCAACGCGGTCACTTCGACTTCGGCCGCGAGCTGGCTTTGCATCGTCGCAATGCGTGCTCGGTCTCGACCGACGGCACTGTTCCCTGGTGCCGTGATGGCTCCGTGCATGTGATTGATGTGATACAACACCGATGGCGCCATGCTCAATTGGTTTCTCAACATGGCCAAGTCTCGTTGAAGACGCTGCATGCCCTCTTGCTCCTTATCTATGTCAGCCATCGTCTTGGCTTGAGCGGCTTCATGTTGAACTAGGTCCGTCGCGTAGCGCTGGATGTCAGCTTCCAAGCAGGCCACTTTCTCTTCGAGGTCATCAATGGTGTTGGCTTGCATGGCATCCAGCTCGCTTTGGCATTTCTGCACTAGCGATTCCAGCTGTTCCCGCACAAGCTTTTCGCGACAAACGACCTTGTCGTAGTCTGCAGTGAGGGTTTTGATCGTGGCTTGATGAAGGATGTCGCTTTCTTTCCACTGAGCCTTGGTAGCTTCCAAGTCTTGGATGGACACTGCCGAGTTGGTCTCCATCATGTCTTTAGCATGTTGCAAGGCCGCGATGGTCGCTCGTTGGGCGTCCACTTCAAGCTGCAGCTGCTCTTGTTCTTGGTCCCGGGTTTGCAGTTCCCCCACGAGTTCTCGTACCCGGGCAGTCGTTTGAGTTTTTTCCACATGGAGCGATTTAATCTGGCACAACACCGGCTGCAATTCGGGTAAGTTGGCCAACACGAATGACGTAACTGTAGTTGGCCCGTCGTTGTCGTCGTGCGCCACACACTTGTGAAGCAACTGTACGACAGCGTCTAGGGTTTGTGTCTTTACCACCGTCGCTTCTAGGACGTTATCAATGGCTGCTTTGAGGGTCGCTACAGAATTGCCGTCGCCATTCGACTTGACGGTATGGTTGCTGGAAGGGGTTGTGATGGTAATATGCTCGATCAATGCGTTCAGTTCCACCTCTCGGGTTGCCGTCGCGTCCTGCTCCGCCTTCAATGCGTCCGTGAGAGTTTTGACTTGACTTTGCACTTCTAGCTCCCGTGCATCACTTTGCAATTTCAACTGCGCTCGCTCCTCGTGCAAGGCCTCTTCACGTGCTGCGACTAACAACAATTTGGCTTCCACTGCCTGTTTCTCCTGTACGAGGACGTCCACCTTGGCTCGTACTTGGTCCAGTTGAGATTGGTCCGTCTTGGCTGCGTCCACTTGAGCATGCTGGACTGTCGCTAGTTCAGTTTGCAATTGCAGCAACGTCGACTCTGCCCTGTCCTTGTCCTCGGTCACACAGTCAATCTTTGCCAGAGCCGTTTGTAACTTGGCTTCGCGCTCTTGCACCTGGTATTGAGCTTGGGTCAACTGCAACTGCAAAGTCTTCACGTCCTCCTCGGTAGCATTCAGGGCGACATTGCACTGGTCCAGGACGTGGCATACAGAGTTGTACTCATCTGTCAACGTTTTATTCGAGTCTTGCAGGCCCTTTAGCTTGGCTTCCAACGCCGCTGCCTGCTGCGTCGCATCGTCGTGCTTGGCTTGAGCGTCTTTCAACTTTTGTTTCAACGAGGCAATCACACTGTCGCTGGTACCTCGGGCATCACGAGTAGCGTTCATATGTGTGGCTTGAAGCGCCGTCAAGTTGGACTCCATCGAAGTCTTTTGACTTGTAATTGCGGCTACCATGGCTTCCAGCTCGAATACTTTGTCTTGCAGTTGTCGTTCTGTGGCGATATGCGCTTCGATCGCCGCCGCCGCGTCAACTTCAACTTGTTGTTGTCGAGCCAATTCGAGCTCCAGTTGCTTTTTGAGTTGGGCCAAGTCGGCCTCGACGTCGGCCTTTTGGTCCAACACCGCCTGTAACTGGCCTGCATATGCCTGAAGCTTGCCCTCCCACGCCACTTGCTGCGCAGTCAACTCCACTTGATTCGCGTCCACTAAGCGTTGTAGCTTGTCCATGGCAGCGTTGTCCGCACCAACGAGTTTCTGTGTATGCCACTCTCTCACTGTGTTTTGAATCAATTGCAGGGTATCCACCATCGTCGAAGGTTCCACCGCTGGAGTCCGAGTCATGTTCAACGTGGTCAATAGGGCTTCGACAGCTGTCGCTACGTCGTGTTCTCTCGTCATGAGCTCTTTCATTTTTTTCTGGGCGTTGTCCAAGGCGACCTGTCGTGCTGCTTGAGCTGCACGACCGATTTCATCCTGCCGATTACCCGATTGCATCTGCAGCAAGCATGTGTTCAACTGCGCCTCCACTTTTAACTTGGATGCCGACACTTCCTGTAGTTCTTCTTGCACTGACTGTAATTCCACTTGCGTAGATGCCAAGTCGCTCGTAAGCCGAGCGACTTCCCGTGATGCACTGGACGACACAGTTGCGTCTCTCAGCATCGTCGAGGCGTGCACCACCTGAAGTTTGGCAATAGTCGACTCTAACAGACGCACTCGTCCAGTGTGTTGTTGCGTGGCTTGGTGCAATGTGCCCTTTGCCTGCACCGCTTCATCTCGTGCCGTTGTCCATTGACTTGTGAGTCTTCGAATGGCGTCGACGAGATGCTGTTTCTCAACGTTCTGACGGGCCACATCCCCCTGACACTTTTGCAACGCCGTCCGCATGTCGGCGCTCTCTCGTTGCGCCTTGAGCATGCTGGCTCTCGTTGATTGCATTTGCTCAACGTCGCGGTTCCAGCACTCCTGCAGCCCCGTAAGTTTCCCTTGGGTCGATGCGACCTGGACAGATTTCTCCGTCAACGCCTTGGTCAATGTGGCCACGTCGTCCTCGCGCTTCTTGTCAGCGGCGGCGACTTGCGCGGTTAACGCCGCCACCGCCGCGTCGTGCTCTTTGCTGCGTCGGTCGAAATGTGCAGTCATGTCATGTTTAACTTGGTGCAGCTCGTCCAACTCGGTCACAGATTGGAGCAACTTGGCTCGGAGCACTTGGTTCTCGACACTTGACGTCTTGTGTATCGCCGACTGTATCGAGGCAATCGTCCCATGGACTCGAGCCAGGTCGTCCTGCGTGGTTGACAGCTCTTGGCGCACCTCGGTCCATTTGCGGTCATGGTCTTGTTGAGTTTTGGCCAGCGACGTTTCCATTCGCCGAAGACCTACCGACGACTCGATATGTTCAGCTACCACCGCCCCCACTTGTTGCTTGGTCACACACGAATCCAACCGAGTCTGGAGCTTTCGATGTTGCTCGTCGGTGATGTCAGAGGTGGGGTTGCTGTCGACGTCTGCGATGGCGACTTCCACTGCCGCGATGCGCTTGGTCAGTGCAGTTACGCGGGTGTCATTGGAAACGTGCAAATCATGGACACGAGTCTCCATTCGTTTCGTGACTTGATCGATTTCCACGTGGATGTCGCTTATGCTTGCATCCAATGCAAACTGCATCGACTTTTCAGCATGTTCCCGCTGGCTGTTCAATGTCTACATGATTCATTGTTATAGGTCAAGATGGACTGTCGTTCGAATTGATTATGCCCTTTGCCATACCTTGACGAAACTGGCGGTTTTCGTGTCGTGCATGGTGGTCGCATCGTCGATTCGCTTGGTCACGCGGTCGTCCATTGTTTGCATAGCTTTGTTCACGGCCACTTTCACCGCATGTGCTATCCCATGTCCATCTGTCGGACGCATAATTGCTCAAACTTCAGCCCGTATGTATCGTAGGCAAACGTATATCACAAGTAACCTACCTGCATTAGTCTTCGACACTTGCCGCTCGAGTTCTTGGACACGTTTGGTCAATGTCTCGACGAGATCATCCATGGTTGGCAGTCGTTGCAACTTGAGCTCGATGTCCGACACTTGACGTTCAAGCCGTGTCCACTTGTCTTGCGCCGACACGACCGAGTCCAATTTCAACCTACTTGCTCATGTTAAACCACAACGTTGTCACAACATCTTGCTTATTACGTGGCAGATTGCATGTCGTATTCGACCATCCCTTTCCACTTGAGCAACGCGATGGTTTGGGTTTCCACTCGTGGCAGCGACTCTAACGCCTTGGTCGCATCCATCTCAAACGCTTCCAGTCGTTGCATCTTGGTGTCAATCTGTACACATGGATAGGTTGATAGTCAGGATAAGGGCAACATGCGATTCGAAACGCGTTGAGATTACCATTTGGACAATCTCGTCCGTCTTGGTTCTCGACGCCGCACACTCGGATGCAAGCCGTTTGAAGTCCAAACGTTGGTCGTTCACCATGTTTTCAATCGTCTTGGCGCGAGCGGCAATGTCTACTTCGAGGCTAGACAAGGTTATCATAAGATAAAGCGTCCAAGTGCACAGTGTATTTACCTCTTTCTTACGTCGTCCATAGGCACAAGTGGCTGAAACGATGTTGGCTTTGTAGTCTACGACAAGCACATTCTTCAACACATGTATACTTGGAGGAGTGTTCTATCTTTACCTCTCGTTGCCCGTCGTGGTTTGTCAACGTCGTGGCGTCCCATGCCCCCCTCGCTGCATCAGACTTTGTCTTGGTTGAATCCTAGTTGGCAAGCAAGTTTGTAAGCATGTCTGACTGGTTATGACATGTATATGGCTTTACGAGGATCTTCGTGGCAATGTGCCGCTTCATCGTGGTGGATTCGTCCAGAACTTTCTTCCACTTGCTGATCGACGACGACGACCTATCCAGTACAACGACGGTACAGTGGAGTATTTTGTGTTGTGTCGTGTCTAACACGTACTCTGCTGTGGCTCGATAGTCATTTGCATTGGAATTCATCATCAACGGACTGGATCGCGTCCGAGACAGCAGCCCCGACGTCAGTTTGGGTTCTTCGCGCTTCTCGCCAATCTTTCGCAACAAGTTGAGGTTCTGGTTGGTTTTCTCGATGATTGCCGCCAAGTCCGACTCCCAGTCGTCCGTCAGCACCGAGCCAACCCCATTTTTCTTCTTTTCCATCAGCCCACGACGTCACGTAGTAAAATCGGCAACTGAATGCGGTCGAAGGGGCAGCACGTAACGGCGACACACACACACGTAACCGCTATGGGCATTTCGATTTCTGAGTTTACAGTACTGATTGATTATACACGTACGGTACTTACTAGTAGTAGTACTAGTTTACTACCGGGAGCTGTAGAGTACACTTCCCGTTTTAGCCAATCATTGGACATGCTGTGATTATTCAGCCAATCCGCATCGCCTTCAAAGCCGATCCAGAATAATCACTGACGTGGAGGACAGTCCTGAATTCGACGACAATAATGCCGACTTGGGTACGTACGTACGGCAGCAGCAATGGCGACGCCTGACGAATGTGGTTGTGTCTAGGTCAAGCAAATGGCAACGGAGGAATGGACAAGTTCCGTTCGCAAGGCCATCAAGGTGCGCCGTCCTCCTGGTGTTGCGCATGTCCTGCCAAGTTCCAATTATGGCATCGAGGTGACGACCCAAGGTACCACACACCCTGTCACGGCGATCGAGTTTGGCTACATCGACTCGAAGGACAGGTACCCATTAGCATGAGGCGTAATCTGTCGTCTCAGACATGTGTCTACCTAGCTCCATCAACCACAAGAAGAAGAATGGAGCATGTGTCCGAGGCCGCGACGCGACGGAGACAGTATCTGTGTCCAACCAATCCATGTCGTCCACGATCTCTTCCGTATTTTGTCTGGATGCGTCGCATCCGTTTACATTTACGATCGACCGGCCCACGACCAATGACCCCCAAGCGATGATCCAAGTTCGCGTACGTGGGTCGCTTTCCTTCTTTAACCCAGGCATCATGGCGTGCCTAGGTGGGGTTATCCACGGAGCTGTTGGCGTCACTTCCCATGGGCGTGCTCGAAACTTGGATGATCGTCCTGTGCGAGACGCCGCCCAGTCTGGAGAAAATGAGCGTGTTTGACTTTTCAACCCACACATTCTGCATCGGCGTTCGCCTTCGCCTAGCCCATGTCCATGCCCGAGATGTCCGCGCCATGACGGTCCACGCGCCGTCGTTCGTGCCGCACTCCCTCCGATCCATTTTCAACCTGCCGTTGCCAACATGGACGCTTCCGCGCAAGCTCCTGCCGCTGCATGCGTCCTTGACGACGCTGGTGGAGGACACGGTTCCGCGCTACATGCCTCGGCCGACACCGCCGCGGTCGCCGCGCGCGTTTTTTCTCATGCAGCAACGTCTCAACGACATTCAAAGCTACGTGCCGTTCTTCACATTGTTGCTGGAAATGGAAGAAGTGCGCATGACCAAGGACATGCACTCTTATGACCAATACGTACAATTATACACACACTCTGCTTCTTTTGTCATATCGTACACGTAGAGCGTGCGATTCCGTGTCCACCACGACCACAGCAGCGGCAGATCGCCCCCCCATGCACTCCTCGAGTACATGAAGGTAACGTTGGACGTTCCAGGGGCCATCGAAGGCCGCCCGGTGCTGCTCCAAGGCGGCAGCGTCCGCTTGCGCGCGTCCGGAGGTTTGCTTTCCCAAGTGGAAATCCACGGCGTAGTTCTGGAAGTGAAAGGCACGGTCGTGACGCTCTTGGTCCCTTGCACCGTGCATTCCGGTATATTCGTTGAGGAGGTTAGAGTCAAATGTCTTTCAATATCACTGGGATATGACGTAGCCGACGTGGCGTCCGTGCTGCCGCCTCATCTGTTCAATCCATTTGTCGCGCAACAACTGTACGCGTCGGAATCGTTTCATGGTATGGAAATATATATATATATATTTGCATGGTTTTGGCGTTAAACTATGTGGTCCGATTGGCCTAACGATTGATGAATACTTGGGAAATATTTTATTGTATTTTTCTACGCAGTAGTAACTAGGACATGTTGGGCGTCGTTTACATTGAATAAGGTGCAATGTACTCTGCGTACTGTAATTGCATTAAACATATTTACAGTTCTAACGTATCCGTATCTATCTGTGTTGATAATAGTAATAATATATATTTTCCATAGTTCGATTCACGTTCCCCCGGTATGGCTTGCGACTGGCATACGATGCGCTGGCCAACTTGACATCGTCGACCATGGCGATTCTACATCCGGACGCGTTCCCAGCCACGAATCTGTTTCGACCACGTGTTCGGTACGTTATCAAGGCCTGCTGGCCATCCATTTTGAGATTATCATTGACGTATCCGAGTCGCATTAGACTGCACGATATGATGCCGTTCAACGACCAAGTGAACGACCGGCAATTGCAAGCGGTGTGGCACATTGTGAACAAATCGAGTGGACTGGCGCCGTACATCATCTTTGGGCCTCCTGGCACGGGCAAGACGATCACTGTGATCGAGTCCATCCTGCAAGTGCTCAAGCACAACCCGAACGCGCGGGTGCTGGCGGTGGCGCCGTCCGACGCGGCCGCCGACATCCTCGGCATGCGGCTGCGCGCGTTCTTGAACAAGGCGTCGCTCTTTCGCTTCAACTGGCCCCATCGCAAGGTACAACGAGCCAGTCACTACACAACATATGGTGTGATTCATTGGACCGACTGGGAGGTAGATTGCGTCGGTGCCAGGGCCGCTGCTCGGGTTTTGCCACGTCGAAAAGGGCAAGGATGTGTTTTCGCTACCAGATCTAGCCCGGTTGCTGGACTTCCGCGTGGTCGTGACGACCACATCGCTGTCGGGCGTGCTCAAATTTGCCCAAGTCCCCGTCGGCCACTTTTCCCACTGCATTGTCGACGAAGCGTGCCAGGCCACCGAGCCAGAGGTGGGTTCGTTTGAGGGGGATGTTTACGACGACGACGGTATGTAACATGTCATGTAGACGCTGGTCGCGTTGACCTTGTGCGACCGCAACACCCATGTGACGTTGGCAGGCGACCCGATGCAGTTGGGGCCTTCGTGCCGTGCAAAGTCGTCGTGTCAATTCCGCTTGGTGGAATCGTTCCAGGTTCGTATTCGAAAATATAAAAGCAATACTGTCTGAAGACTGGATTTATGAAGTGGGTATATATATATATATATGTATGTAGGGTGTTAAGACTGGATTTGCAGTGAATATATCAAAGTAGAAGTATTGTGCTTTCGAGTGAAATTTCGTGTTATGGTGTGGTTTCTCGTTGGAATTTAAATCGATTTGATTGGCTACCTCAGATGAGCTCAAAATTATTAACCAATCAAAACCTTCTCAATGAAATTCAACCAATCAGATCGATTGTGGATCGGTTTGGTGGGCGCGATTCGATTGCACCCCCTCCCCAAATTTGTATCAAATCGACAATATCTTCTTCTTTTTTTTTATAATAATATGTTTGTTGTTGAATAATTCCTTCTGTATTTGAATATATACCTCATTGTCTTAAAGTTAATCCAGGTAAAAAATTAAATTCGAAATGATGTATTAAATATAGGGTGGCAGATCTGAACGATTTGTTTGATATATCAACTGGGGTGTGTAGGAGCGGCTAATGCGCATGCCCATGTACGACTGCGCGACAGCGGACAACGCCATGCGTATTGTTAAGCTCGTCAACAACTATCGATCCCATTCGGCGTTGATTGCGCTGTCGTCGACGTTGTTTTACCACAACGAACTGCTGCCGTGCGCCGATCCCCGCTTGGTCGACTCGATGTGCCAGTACGCAACATGAGCACCGTGTCACACACACACAACATGATGGGGATGTCGTGTAGATGGGAAGGCCTGCAAGGCCGCCACCAGTTCCCGATGATGTTTTACGCAGTCAACGGAGTCCAGCACCAAAGCATCGAGTCGTCTAGCTTTTGCAACCTCATGGAAGCCATCAAGGTACGTTGAACATGACATGGGTGGGGTCATAGTGAATCATGTATATCGTGTTGTAGGTGGCCGACGTGATCGGGAATCTATTGCGTACGACCGGCGTGTCGACAAAAGACATTGCCGTGATCACGCCATACCGCCAACAAGTGGTCAAGCTGCGCCAGCTGCTGCGCGCCCGAGGCCACGGCGCAGTGAACGTCGGTACAGTGCACAACTTTCAAGGCCAAGAAAGCAAGATTTGCATCTTGAGCACGGTCATGACAAGCATGGACACGATCTCCTCCTGCGACTACGTCAAGGCGGAGCGGCCGATTCCAGTGCTGTCCGACTACAAGAGCTTCAATGTGGCGCTAACCCGAGCGCAGGCGCTGTGCATTGTCGTGGGGCACCCCGCCGTGCTGTCCCGCCATGCGTTGTGGCGCTACATGATGGGGTACTGCGTCCGACACGGCGGGTACCAAGGCACGGACGAAGCGGACGACGACGACGTGGATGTGTTCAATGTGACACCGCCGTCCGTCAAGTTTGGGGCCATCAGCGACGAACCATTGGACGACCCTGAATGGCACTTATTTATGTAACTATCGACAACCAACCAACCGCGCCATCCCAGGGTCAACAAGCTCAATTTCGGCACCACGAAATTGATATTTAATACAACTAATATAAAAAAGCACACACAAAGTCAAGCTGGTTCCATCCCTCTTCGTTTTTCGTCTCGTGTCGTCGTTCTCCACTCTTATGAGACATTGTCTTTGGTGTCAAAGATACGGCCTTGCTTGATTTCGTGCGCGTGGATGCCGTAGCACAGCCTTTTTTCGCAGTGCTTTCGGTTGAGCACACGCGGGGGGGCGTCGTGGCCGTCGTCCTTGACGGCCACATGCACCTGCGCCGGGAACCGCGTGTCGATCCACTGCAGCTCGACGAGGATCTGGGGAGTGTCGGGGTAGTTGTCCCCGAGCGCGAGCTTGTGCACAGCGTTGCTGAGCACGTCGAGGTTTAGCATTGTCTTCTTGAGCAGCAGCGGCACCCACAGTTTGTCCTTTTTGCCGCCGTCCAGGTAGGCTTTCAAGTCGATTTCGGCTTCCCCAATGCACTCGCCCAGGGACAACGTGTCGTGGTTGTACACACTCAGGAGGAGCTTGCCACCGGACGCCGCCAGATCCTTCTCGGCCATGCCGAATACGAGCTGTTCGTTCCACAACGGGTTCAACGTGTGGCGCTTGATGCTTGTCATGTGCTTGAACGTGCCGCACGTGACGACGCAGTACGGATCCAACACGTTTCGCATCATGTTGGACCGGAGGTTGCGGCCTTCAACGATCGACAAGTGCATCTCGTTGGGGCGGTGGACGATTTCTTTGCCGAACCGGTTCACAGTGTCGAGGCCAACGATATGGCCTTCGAGCCACCGCCCTTTCTTGGCCGACGCCAGCAGCACCGGCATGTGCATCTCAAACACGCGGACGGGAATTGGGGGCTTGAGCGCATACTGTTCATGCTGCAGCCACACTAGTAGTGCCACGACATGTATAAATATATTATCAATCGACCCGTGGGAATCGAAAATCGAGGGTTGCTGCTGCTGCTGCACCTTTGTATGTATGTACGTACCTTCGTGCTCGGCAGAATGCGATTCTTGGCCAAACAACCCGTGCGAGTAAAAGTTGACTTTAATGCGACCGTTCTTGACCCAAGCGACGGTGCCTTGTCGCCACTCGCCGTCGCTTTGTTGGGCAGCCCCCGACGGGGGGACGTGGTCGGCGGGGGTGTTGTGGCGATGCTGCACACGCACGAGGATGTGCTCGCCGATCGTGCGCACACTCTTCCGGACGTTGTACTTGACGCGCCTCGAATGCTCCTGAATCTTGAGCGATGTGTCGGTAGAGATGTCGCTCTTGCGGAGGTACACAAAGAAGCAAATGGCAATACCCACGTTTTCCAACACACAAAATGCCAAGAGGCGCCAGATCAGCGGAAAGCAGTTGGTCACGGGACCGTAGTCCAGTTCTGAGATCGGACACTCGGGGCTGAACGAGTCCATTTGGCCAGTCACGTACACAAAGATGGCGGGCACGACCATCGTCGCCACGAGTGCCTCAAATGTGAACGCGCCGAGCCAGGGCCCGATGCCAATCATCCGACGAGGTACCGATCGCTTGCAGTCGATGACCATCTTGATCGCGTCAAAGCGAGAGGCAACCGTGTTGTTGCAGAACGCACACAAGGCACAGAACGGCCAGATGACGCTGAACATGGTCACGTAGCTGAACTGGATAGCCATGTGCAGCAAGTCCCCCTGCGGCGAGTACACGGGCATGCTGGACTCTTCCATGATGCGGTCGGCATTGTACACGTAGTTGCGGCAGTGCCATTCTTTAATTAGGCGCAGCCGGAACGACGGCCGGCCACCCGACGCGGCGGCTGCTTTGTGCAACGGATCTTCCCAAATGCTTTCGTTCTTCTTGTTGTGTTCGATGTCTTGGGTCACGCGGTCGATCCAGTCGTAGCTACGACAAGGGGCAAATAAATACATGTCAGGATATTACCGTTTTTGCGTGTCAACGTGAGTAAAGTACCTACCTGGTCACTTGGTACACGTCCAAGTCGTCCCGTTTCACATTCAAACAAATCTGATTCATGCGGCTATGGTGGCTCGACAAGTTGGCAAACAACGATTCGATCGTGGCCTCGACATCTGCGGCGCGGATGGGTTTCTTTTCCGACAGAAACTGCGCCAGCTCCTCCTTTTCCATATCCGTCAAGTCGTTCGACTGGTCAACTTCGTCTGTCACCGCCGCCACTGCGGCCGCCAAGTCATCTTCGGTCGCCCCGGGCATCGACATGCGCAGCGCCCGCAGCGCTTGCTTGCTGTGCCGGACCACCGACCCCGCGGCAGTTTGGGTGGCGGTTTGCGTCAAATTCACCGCGCTTTGCGTGAGGTTGACTGCCGTTTGAAAGTGCATTTTCAACCCGTTCTTGAGCTTGAGGCTGAGTTGATCTTTGCTCACCAAGTACGTGTCCCGCGCCGATACGACCGCGCGACGCAGTAAGAAAGGGACGAACGTGTTGATGACCAGGTTGAGGGCTTGGGTGACAATCAGGGGCGTCACGAACGCAGAATCCATGCCCACTAGCCCCGATACCCAGTACCGACTACATGCATTGCAACCATCATCAACCATTCACACCTATTAGAATCGATTATTTGACGTACCTAAATTTGAACCGACCGTTACCTGTAAACCACATATTCGTGTCAATGTGAACCCGAATAAACTCTTGGACTTCGCCGCCGTATGGCGTGTACAAGAACGCGAGGAGGAAGAACCAGTAAAAGTACCCCACCCAGTTGAACAAGAAGATCTTCTCCACGAAGCGGCGGTTGTTTTCTTGAAGCGTTGCGTAGTTTTCCCACTTGTTGAAGACCGACGCAATCAATTCAAAGATGGCCAGAAACAAAATGTCGAGCGTCAGGCCCAGCACAATGCCCTGGACGAGCACATACGTCCACCGTGCCGTACCCACAACGCCCCGCTCGGTGGAAAAGCACCCGACCAGCGCCCTGTCGCAGTCATAGTACGCCGGGTCGAACGTCGCCGTGTCACAGTATCCCTGGCAACCGCGGACAGACTCGCGAATGTCTCGTAGAAAGTTATACGTTTTGCCTTGCTGAAGCAGCAACTCGCACTGGTTGACACAATTGTGCGAGTCTAGGAAGGCCGGGCATCGCGGGTCGTCGCACATGGGGGTCATCACGGCAATGATGTACCATTGGCAGTACAGCATCACAAACACAAACAAGAGGATACAGCACACGACGGAAAACACGCCAAAGAGAATGTACTTTGGGTACCGCCGTCGCCGGTCGTACATTTTCACATCGACGTAATCGGGGGGGTCGCCTTCGTTGGCCACGTTGATTGTTTCCACGACGTAGTCCTTGAACTCTTGGTTCGGATACTCGACCTCCTTGGCTTGGAGCAGGTCCCACTCGACAAGCAACGAGTACTGGTACCGCTTCCACCGCTTCAGCACGGACGGCGCCCACACAAACGCGACCAGGAGGCCGTAGATACCCAGCGCCTGCATGTAGCTGTGGTAATCGACTTGCCGCCACACGACCCACAAACCGATGCCCACAAGGCATGGCGTGCTCAGCGACGCACAATATAGCCGGATGAATGCCGTGTAAAATGCAATGTGCAACCCAAAGTGATCTTTGGTACGCAAGAGAAACAGCCGTCGCGTCGACGCCGACAGCGCCTCCTTGAACCACGACGACGTGATAAAGTCCGTCACGTTCGGGTCGTGCAGGGGAAACACGTCATGGACGACCGGGTCCTGGTTGTTTTCAATCCCCCGGAGGCCCGCGCCGGGGGGACGGTCCGCGGCGGGCCTGGTCAAGATGGACGCGAACGCCGCGATGCGATCGGCGGCCGTCATTGTCTCGGCATTCGCGCCGTACTCGTCGCCCAACGACTTGGCCTACACACCTCTCTACCATGACGTTTTGAAGGTGATTAAAGTATCGTACGTCTTCCTCGGAATGGTACTCCACGATACGCTCCATTTTCATGAGCTTGTCCTCTCGCGCGAGAAGCCACAGCGGCGCATTGAGCAGGAGGATGATCTTCCCCACCGTGTTGCGCGTGTTGGCCAACACCGTCACGTGAATACCAGCTCGTAGAATGTTGGACAGCACCACCTCTTGCTGCTTGTAGTCGGCGTCCGAGATCCCATCTTGGTTGTTCAAGATCAAGACAAACTCATAGTCCATGCGCGGTTGGATGTTGAGCATCCGCACGACCAAGTGCGGCAGCCACAGGCACTCGGCGTGTTCCGACACTGTGAGGCTGCCACGTCATCATACGTTCAACAGGTTTGTGTAGACGCACCTGCTGTGACGGTCGACTCGACGCGCTCGTCGCCCTTGGTAATCGCAGGCACATTCATTCCAAACGCTTCTTGGTACTCGATGGGTTCCATCGGCAACGATATGTCGTCCAGCACCGATCCCGCGACCACGTACGCCCTCGTGGCCTTGCCCGACATGAGAATGTACATCCCATCTACCACAACACATTCGTTGCATAACAAGTTGCTACAGATTGCTAATCGAACCTGCTTCCGCTTCGTCCAAGACAATCACTTCGTCACGAGCGAAAGATCGCATTTCTGCGAGTCGCGCCAACTGCGACAGCTCGCGGTCCGTCAGGCAAGAAAACTCCTCGACGCCACCGAGAAATTTCTTGGTCGTGAAGATCTTGGAGTCGCTGTCGTCGGCGGTGTCGGCTGAGTCGGCCTCCGAGCAGCACAGTACCGCGCGGAGCCATTCAAACACATCTGCGCGTGACATGCCACAGAACCGCCGACTCTCGCGCCGCTTCTGTTCCCGCATGACACGCAGCGACTGACCGACATGCGCTCGGATCTTCGACCGAAGTTCGTCTTGTTCGAGTTCTAGCGTTGTTTTAGACTGCGCTGACACAGGTGTGACGGCCTGGGACGTCAAGTCTGGCAACGTCGACGGCAATGGCAACGGCGGCGATGGCTCGGGTAGCGGAGGGTTTGGCTCGTTCAATGAAGGTCTCTTCAACGATAACGGAGGCGGTGGTAGGTCCGTGGCCTCCACGAGGACGTCAGGGATCGGCGTCACGACCCCATTCGTACTGCTGCTCATGGCGGATCTTTCTGCGAACAGCCAGCTGATTGAACGACGACTTGTGGGAGGTTGTGGGCGGTTTCTTTTTTTAGGTGGTTACATGTGAAACGCCCAATGATTTACGAATTTGGTGGTGGCAACGGGTGCCGCCAACCACGTTGCCTTATTGCCCAAGAGTTACGAATAACAACGCACCAAAGTTGATCGCATTTGGTTAAGACTTGGCTAAAACTTCAAATTACTTAACTGTAAGAGCAACTCCACCTTAGCGTCAACAACAGTACTATCGGTATTTAAGTTTACAGGGTCCTAGTGCAGCATCGTCATATCCGTCAGTGATTTTCCGGTGAAAAAGACAGAATTCATACACGATGGCATGTATACTTGTCAGGTAAATCTCGAGGCTAGACTGTAACTTGTACATCAAGCTTGAGAGCGAAGTACTTCATCAAAGTACATGGTACTGTACGTGGACAAAATGAACAGGTACACTCTTATAGTAATACTAGGTACAACTCCTTTCAAGACATCCTTTTATTATTACTCATTACTGTATTGGAGCATGTCTCGCTGGTTTTGACGATTTAAAATAGTATTAGTAGTATTACTACTATCTTGTCCGGACCGTCAGTTCATCCGGTTTACTTCCGACTGAACCGGTGAACCGACGTCGTTCCAACGAAAGTCCCTTGCAAGCGAACCACACACACACACACATCATTCCGGTCCGTGTCCCACCCGCACTACTGCTTAAACGATGTCCTCCGAAGAAGACCTGCGCTCCGATGACGACGACGAACAAGAAGACGTAGATGACTACTCTGACGACGACGACGAAGTGACGTCCAAGAAGCGCAAGGGCAGCGCCGCTGCGGCGCCCAAGGCGAAGAAGAAGAAAAAACCAAAGGTCATGAGCTTCATCGATGACATGGCCGACGAAGCCTCGGACGACGAGAGCGATGATGACTATGACCGAGGTGACTTCCTTCCAGACGAGCGGCATCTCGCGGAAGAAGAGAAGGAAGAACTGGACCACCAGAGCCACCATCAGTACAACCAGCACCGCAACAACGCCGCACACAACGACGACGACACGGAAGACATTATCCGCGAGCTGAAAAAGCGATCCAAGCAACAGAGTCGGCGCGGCAACGAAGACGACGACGAGGACACTGTCGAGTCTATGCAGTCGGCGGTTGCCCAACAGGCACTGTTGCCATCGATCCAGGATCCGCGCATGTGGGTGTTCAAATGCAAGGTATGCACGCGTCGTCCTCGTTCTTTCCGTGTCTTACACTGCTTCTATCTAGCCGGGACGCGAGCAGCACTTGGTCATGGCGCTCATGAACAAGTTTTTGGAATTCGCCAAGCGCGGCACGCCGCTCCCAATCAAGTCTGTGATCGCGTCGAGTTCCAAGGGCTTCATATACGTCGAGTCGGAGCGAGAACCGTACGCCAAGGACGCGGTCAACGGCATCCGCGACATCTTCCCGTGGTCCATGAAGCTCGTGCCGATCCACGAAATGACTGCTGTCCTGACCATCCAAAACAAGAAGACGCCCGTCACAGCTGGCTGTTGGGCGCGGTTCAAGCGCGCTGGTTTGTACAAGGGCGACTTGTGCAAAGTGGTCGAGATTGTCGACAACGGCTTGCGGGTGAGTTCCTGTGACAAGGACACTTGTCCATGGTTGTTGGACATTGTCACACATATCATCTGCGATATGATGCAACGCACTGACACAACTTGTATGTAGGCAGTGGTCAAACACATTCCTCGTCTCGATCAAATCGTTCTTCAAGGCGGCGACCAGCCCAAGTACAAAAAGGGTCAGCGTCCCCCGCTCAAGCTGTTCAACGCGACATCTCTCCAGGGCACGTCGGCGGAAGTGAGTCGCAAGCGGCATCCGGTGCTCGGTACGTCCGCCAAAGAACGCGTATATGCGACGACGTTTGGTCATATAACCTGTGGATGATATTGTTAGATGGGATGATGGACTTCTTTGACAATGAATGGTTCAAGGACGGGTTCCTGTACAAAGAACTGAACATTGCGACGATGCTCCAACTCGACGAAGTCAACCCGACGCTGGACGAAATCAACAAGTTTTCCCACACAACGACCGACTTTGGCGACTCGGACACCGACCAGCCGGCATCGTCCGTGTCCAAGCTGGACCTAGGGGATGCCGACGCATGGAAGAACAAGGTGGATCTGACCAAGGGAGACACGGTCAAGGTGATTGAGGGCGATCTGGTCAACCTGCTGGGGGTCGTCGTTGGCACCAACTCGACCAACGACACGGTGCGCGTGATGCCGCTGCACGACGAAATCAAAGACACTATATTGGACTTTCAACTCAAGCAACTGATCAAGATCGTCAAGGTATGTTGGAGATGTGAAAGATAGTAGAAGGGGGGGAGGACAAGTATCCTGTAGAATCGAGACATTTTGAACTGGGATGTATATGGACTGATGTGCTTTGATTACATAGGTGGGGGCCCATATTAAAGTCGTGTCGGGGCGGTATTCCGGTGAAACGGGCACGGTTGTGAGCCTAGATGAATCGCTTGGGGCACCCGTGGCGATTGTGCTAGTGGACACGCAAGCCAAGGAGATCCAGGTCCGCGTGCGCGACATCCAAGAGTCGGCCGAGGTGTCGCAGGGATTGGACTCGCTCAAGGGCAAGGAACTGTACGATTTGGTCGCGGTACGAGATGCCATGTGTGACACTGGGTGGGGGGGGATCTTAACGAGTTACGCTTTGATTTGTAGCTCCCGCATGGCGAAGTGGGCGTCATCACACATGTCGGCCGCGACAGCTTCACGGTGCTGGCTCAGAACGGCCAAACCAAGAGCATTGCGGACCAGGAAATCCAGCGCAAGATCTTTTCGACGCGGGCGTCGGCATTGGACAAGAAGGGCAACCCGATCACGGTGGGGGAGATGGTGCAAGTGGTCGAAGGGTCGTTCTCGGGCCAAACTGGCACGATCAAGCACATTTACCGCAGTTATATCTTTCTCCACAACAACCGCGTGGTACGTCGTCGTCAAGTGATATATGTGACAGTGTTTTGACTTATCATGTCATAGACGATGAACGCGGGTATTTTCATGGTGCGCAACCGCCAACTCATCTTGTCCGGAGACAAGGTCAAGTCGAACAACGCTCCAGGCAGTGGAAGCAGTGGCCATGGTGGCGGCGGGAGCGACCGGTACGGCGGCGGCGGTGGTCGCCCCAACGACCGCCAGCAACAGCAGCGTGGCGGTCCTCGCGGCGCGTTCCAGTCGGATCTGGTTGGCAAGACGGTCAAGATCAAGCGAGGCCAGTGGAAGGGCTACATTGGGATGGTTGTGGACGAAGGCGACACAACGGTGAAAGTCGAGATGCATTGCAATTCAAAGTGCATTGAAGTGGAGAAGAAGATTGTCAACGTGGCCGGCGACCGCCAAGGCGTGCACGTCGACCGCACCCACGGCAGTAGCACGACCATGTCGTCGGCGCAGACCCCCATGGTATCCCAGACCCCGCTGCATCACGGGATGACGCCGATGGCAACGCCGCTGCACAACGCACCGCGGACGCCATCCTCCCGGAGCTACTCGTCGGGGTCGCGGACGCCTCAGCACGACGCGTGGTCATCCCACAACGACGACCAGCTCCTGGAAGCCAACATTCCCCACGAACGCGAGATTTCCCACGGTACGAATCTCATATTTCCGACTAGCTTTGAATGATTATTTGTAGCGCAAAGCTTTGGGACGCCGTTGGAACCGGTGGTACCGTCCGAGTTTGGTGTTGCGAGCACGTACAAACAGTCGAGTTACAACGACATGAACTCGATGCTCAACCATCCGACGACCCCGGGATTGCTCAACCCAACGACCCCCGGGTTTCAAGGTCCGTACAGTACCCCGGGGGGACTTCAGCCCACGACGCCGTTCGTGTCGACGCCAGGCATGCCGCACAACTCGGTGCAAACCCCGCTGCAGACGCCGTTCCAGAGCCACCACTCGTCGTTTGGCCCGACGACACCAGGCATCAACATGATGCACGGCCACCATCACCACCCCACCACCCCCGGGGTTATGAACCCCACCACCCCCGGGTTCTCTGCGTATACCCCGATGAACCCGACGACGCCGGGGCTGTTTGCAAAGGGAACCCCCGCGGGTGCCGTGACCCCCCATGGCGTAGGTATTGGCGCCACCCCCGCCCCCATGACGCCGGCATCCGGACAGTACTACGACAACGGCTTCGGCACGTCGAGTGGCGGCGGCGGCGAGGCATCGTGGATGAGCAAGGGCGTGGTGGTTGAAGTGGCCACCCCCGGCGAGCACTACAAGGCTCAAGGCGTGATTGTCTCAGTTGGACATGATGCGTGCTTGTTAGACGTTCGAGGCCAGACAGTCAGCATCCACGTGGACGACTTGAACCATGTGATGCCAGAAAAGGGAGACAACGTCAAGATTCTGGTCGGAGACGAAGCCGGCAAGACGGGTGTGTTGATTGGGACCGACGCCAACGACGGCATTGTCAAGATGGACGGCACGGCCGAAATTAAGATTTACCCCCGCAGTCACTTGGCCAAAGTGGCCAACTAAGTAGTAGTAGGTAGTAGCGGCTACAACCAGGTGGTGGTGCTACGACTACCGGTAGTCTAATTGTATTTGAAACAAAAAACATGAATATAGTAGAAGTACTGTGATGGCATGTGGAGAGAGATTGATCACGGGTGTGAATGCGAGATATGGGGAGCCAGGCGACTCGAGTTTACAGTTGCTATGACTGTGATCTCCTGGCGGCTCTACTTGCCCCTATCGACCATTGCGATGAACAATGCGTGGCGCCGAACGTCACACACAAGCGGCGCCAACGCCCATCTGGCACGACAGGACAAGGTTTGAATGGCTGGTTGCACTTCAACTCACTCCTCACATCCCCACCTGGCATCGGTAGAAGTTCCATGGTGAAGGGGTGATAGCATCGAGGACGGTCAATATGACAATGTTTGATTGAGGCTAAATAAAGCTATACTTTTGACATATTTATCGTCGTAGACGACAGATTACTTGAAATTTGTAGCAAACATGATTGTATGTCTTGTCGTAACCTGTGACAGACGACTTTTCCTATGGCCGTTTGGTCCAATCAAATGGCACGTGTGTCCTACCGCGAAGTTGAAGTTTGGGGGGTGGTCCCCGAAATTCAATTGTTGGGGACCCCCCCATAAGAAATATTAAAGTCAACGTCGAGGTTCTCAGGTTGTTTTTTGTATATACTCGATCAAATAAAATGAAGATCCGCCACCATAGCATTTCGTAACTCGAGTGCATTTGACAAGAGTTCGTTTCCTGCCTGCACGGTCTTCCATCATCATCCCCATGGCGCTTCGATTCATCACCAAGTCGATGCCTTCGGCCATGGCCCGCAGCCAACGCCGCTTTCTTGCGCCCACGACCGCATCGAAACACATGTCCACGGTTGTCGGAACTGGTATGGCCGTCCTCCTTTGACAAGTGAGTTGTCAGAGTGATGATTTCGTGGCTAGGCGAGTTCCCTGGTGGACAAACGGTGCCGTACGTAAACAAGATCACGGTGTTGGACCCGAAAGAGCAGGATATCATTCCTGCCTACCGAATCTTGGATCAGCAAGGCAAACTCGTGACCGGTGGTCAAGTCCCCGAAGGCCTCAACGAAGAAGTGATCGTCGACTTGTACAAGAACATGGTTCGCTTGAACGTAAGTCTAGCTCGTTCCTTGTTGATGTAAAAACTCCCACGACAACAACGCCCCCATGCCAGTATATCCTGATTAAAGCTGCCTTTTGGTCTGTAGCAAATGGACAATGTCTTTTACGACGCCCAACGCCAGGTAGGGTCGACATATGCGTCTCTCTCTCTCGCGTACATTGTAGTATGCTTACTTGCCTTGTATATTCCTTCAGGGTCGTATTTCGTTTTACATGACCGCATTTGGAGAGGAAGGCACGTTGTTTGGCAGCGCAGCCGCCATCAAACCTCGTACGACATTGCCGTTTACGTTAGAGGTCGATCGTGCCGACTCTGACGTTCTCGTCGGGTGGTAGGGGACATGGTGTTTGCCCAATACCGCGAAGCCGGCGTGCTAATGTACCGCGGGTTTACGTTGGACCAGTTTGCCGATCAATTGTTCAGCAACGAAGGCGACTTGGGCAAAGGCCGTCAGATGCCCGTGCATTATGGCTCCAAAGAATTGAACTACCAGACCGTGTCGTCGCCGCTGGCCACTCAACTCCCCCAGGTATGACCTCCGTTGCCAATTAGCCTCAAATTTTGATCCACCATTTCTAACAACTCGATGTGCATGATCAGGCGGCTGGGGCTGCGTATGGCTTTAAAGTGGCCAAGGAAGACCGCATTGCCATTTGCTACTTTGGCGAAGGCGCTGCCAGTGAAGGCGATTTCCACGCTGGTATATATACATTATATATTCCCCACAAGGATCGTCGCTGAAAACTATATGTGTGTTTGGGCTCATCTTGGGACGTAGCACTCAACTTTGCGGCCACGCGCGACTGCCCCGTGCTCTACTTTGCAAGAAACAACGGATATGCCATCAGTACGCCCGTGAAGGACCAGTTCCGAGGCGACGGAATTGCGTCCCGCGGCGCTGGCTACGGTATCCCCGTGATCCGAGTGGACGGCAACGACCTGTTTGCCGTGTACGAAGTGACCAAGAAGGCCCGCGAAATGATCTTAACCGGGGGGCGCCCTGTGCTCATCGAAGCCATGTCGTACCGCCAAGGCCACCACTCGACGTCGGACGACTCGACCCGGTACCGCGAAGTGTCGGAGATCAAGTTCTGGAAGGACACCAACTGCCCGATCAACCGGTTGAAGCTGTACATGCTGGTACGTACGCCAGCCAGCCAGCCATCCAGCATGCCAACTCTTCTTGATGGGTATCGACGACGGTGGATGATACAAATATGTATTTTTGCAGGACCAAGGGTGGTGGTCGGAAGAGCGGGACCAGGCGTTGAAAGATGCCGAGCGCATCAACGTATTGCAATCCCTCGCGAAAGCCGAAGCCAAGGGCATACCTGAGATTCAAACCATGTTTGACGACGTCTACTTTGAAAAACCGCGCCACATTCAGGTACACATACCTACTACATACACAACGGCAACTCTCAACATGTGTATAGGAGCAAGAAAAGGAAATGCTCGAGCATTTGGCCAAGTACCCAGAACATTATTCGTCGGGGGGACATTAGACAGTTATAACAAGCCACAACGCTAGTAGTACAAATACAGTAACGTGAAGATTCGAACGATCGGTTGGAGGATGGATTATTTATTGGTGCAAGGTGTTGCGATTGTACAGTATACTGGGCTATATATCCAGCTAACATTACGTGTACTACAAACTAACGTTACTAGTATGTTCTGTACACACAGAGCTTGTCCTGTGCAAGGCAAGGAGCATACATAAGTCTTACCGTAGCGAACAAGCAGTAGTCACGCCACTGAACCTCATGACATTACCGGTAGTACACGTGTTTCCCATTGAAGTTGCCTTCGACATGCGTCCAAATGTTCAGACTCGACCAACTGGAAACTGAAAGTTTCCTACGTGCATTGACTACACTTCGTAGAATGTACTACGTAGTAGTGCCAGTGCAATAGGAAGCAACACATAATGCAGATGAGGCTGTAGTGCTTGCTGCTTTCTACAAACTAGTACTGTTAGTACTGCTGTACTGGTAACGTTACGTAGGATGTGTACACCCACCCATGCACAAATTGCATGCAGCATGAGTTGAAATGCTCATCCATTTCAAACAACACACTACGGCTTGAATTATATCCAATGGCCGTTCGATTAGCTAAATACCATGATTTGATTGGATGGGCCTTCTTCCTAAAGGGCAAATCAGATGGATTCTTTGTAGCGTGTGTCGCATCGCTTCCCATCACAGCAGGTTTGACATTTTTTTAATGCAGCACTTGAAAACTCTATACTAATGTGAGTGTTTTTATTTGGATCCTGGCATGAACCATCGCACTTTGCTCTTGCCAACGCAAGTAACTCGTAGGTTACCATCAATTTGCAAAGTGGCGACTCCCAAGGCATTGGTAAGTCGTCTGTCGTCCCGGTGGTTACTCCAGTGGCATGTCGTCCTCCTTGGTTGTCAGCGTCAGTGGCTTCCTCGTGAACTTGCATCCCTCACCATCTTTGCATGATGTTAGCCCTTGACTCGATAGCGCATGAACATCCAAGTCGATCGTTTCGAAGCCGTCCATGTCAAAGGCAAAAAGTTTGTGGTACCTGTTGCCACCATGTCTCTACATCCAGCGTCATGCTAAGCAACGATCGAACGATGTAGGGCTACATCACAAGTGTAGAGCACTTGGCCAGTGGTTCCAAGTGGGAAATCCCCATCCGGTATTCCGTGTACAATGCATTCCATGCCAAGGTAACGACGACGACTGCCGATGGTGGTCACGGCAAGTTCCATCTCAGCATCCTATTGTGTGGTAGCTTGTCAAGACCGATCCGAAGGCAGCGAAACTGCCCTTCCCCAAAAAGTCGTTATTTGCGCCCCCCAATGCTACTCGCCGGGACCTTCTCAACAAATTCGTGACACAGTTGACCACAATCACGCTTTCCCCCGAAGGCAGTAAACTGCTGGACGCCCTTCTCGACGTACGAACCAACGTGAAAGACACCGTCAAACCAGCTCAACCCCCTGCCACCCATGAACCCGAGCCAGCTCCCGTTCAAGTGGAAGCTCCAGTGGCAGCAGCATTGCCAGTTGAACCAAGCGAGGCCTCATCGGTGCTTGTGGCCGAATCCCTCGTAGAGGCAACCCCTGCCGCAACTGCTTCTGTTGAAGTGCCGGTTGTAGGCGTACCAGCCGTGGACACAGTAGTGTCAAAAATCCACGCGGAAGCCGCCCCGGCTGTTCAA